TTAAAAAAGCACGAAATGCACTTATTGTGTGGGAATCTCATGGACCCAGGATCATCAAAGCGTCTTTCAGAACAAAGGAGGGGATTACAATCAATATTATCCAGTGTTATGCACCCACCAATGATAGCAATGACGACAACAAAGATCACTTCCACGAGAGGCTGCAATCGACAGTAGCGAAGTGCTCATGAAAAGAAGTGACCATGCTGGTGAGTGACATAAATGCCAAAGTCGGAATGGACAAACACCGTTTATGAAGAAATCATGTGACGACATGGATTAGAAGAAAGGGACGAGAAAAACGAGAGGTTTGTAAATTTATGTGCATTCAAGAAAATAGTCATAGGCGGCAAAATATTCCCCCACAAACACACAAAGCATGACTTAAAAATTCAGAAGGTCAATGGAAAACGTGAGAACCGAGAGAGGAGCTAATATGGCTTCAGGTCACTACCTAGTGGTTGTCAAGGTGAGAACTAAGCTGATGAAGCATTCAAAATCTCTAAAACAACATCACAAATGCTCGATGCAGCCTTCCTTTGACATACAAAATACTCATCGAATTCAGGATAGCTCTCGTCGGCAGGTTCCAAGCATTGCAGGATCTATTGAAAGACGAAGGAAATACTATGGAAGACAACTGAAAAGGGATCAAAGAAGCACTAACTTCAACGTCTCAGGGGGCTTTGCTGTAAGATGCATCATAATAAGAAATGGATCTCTGTCGAATCCCTGAACAACAAAGGAAGAACGAGAAGGCAGTAACTAACAGCAAAGTGGAACATCAGAGTTGACAAGCAGAAATACGTGGAATACCTAGCACAGACAGTTGAAAAAGCTTCAACAGAAGGAAATATCGATCAACTTTATTATGTAACGAAGAGACTGGCGGGGAAATATAATAAACCAGAGAAACCGGTCAGAGACAAAGAATTCAAGTCGATCTCTGAGACTCAAGAGCAGGGGAACAGATAGGTAGGACACTTTGAGGAACTCTTGACTACACCGGTCACAGTGAATTCACCGTGCATCAAAGTAACAGACACAGAAATTCCTATAAAAATCATTCAACCAACGATCGAATAAATCAGGATGACCATCAAATAAAACAAGTGTGAGAAATCAGTGGGATCTGACAATATGCCAGTCGAAGCGCTGAAGCCAGACATGAAAGCAACTGAAATCATGCTTCACACTCTATTCAGGAAGATTTGGAAGGAAGAAGAGATGCCGATGGACTGGAAAGAAGGATCCCTTATCAAGGTATCGAAGAAAAGAGATCCGAATTAGTTTAGCCAAATGTGAGACAGAATTTTTGATTACGTATATTTTGTACACTCATTGATTTGAATAGAAAAGCAGGGGGACGAAACAAAAAGAAGATTGAGATGTGAAACGAAATGGCGCATAGTGGAGAACGCACGTAAACCAACTCAATTTGACCATGCGTGAATCGATATTTGCAAAACAAGTTACAGACATCTAATGAGTAGTATATGAAGTGCACGCACGCTTAAATACACAGTCAGTGTTGATAAGCAAATAATTAACAAGGTCAAAACGTGACTTAAAAAGAATCGATAGATTGGCCAATCAAGAACCTAGGATAAGTCATATGGGCTTGACATAACATTACACTTTCACTTTTTCATTTTCCTCTGATGAATGAGTGGATTAAAAGGACCTACGTGTCTGAGGAAAAGTGCGGAATACAATGAACAGACAGGAAGCAACTAAACGATTATAACTTCTCCGATGACCTGGCTCTTCTATCCCATAACAAGGAGCTTTTGCAGGCAAAGACAGCCAGCTTAGCAGAAGCCTCTAAAACAGTGAGCCTCAACATTCACAAGGGAAAAACAATATCGTCAAATCAATCAGTCAGTCAGCCATAACGTAGGACCACGCACATGTATGCATCCGTCCGAATTGCCATACCTCGTTAGCACAACAAGATGAACACCGGATTCATGGAAGCAGTTACTTCAACGGTAGTAATCTATAAAAGAGAGATTGTGGATAAAGATAAACTCTAAGAAGAAAGAATTACTTCGTAGAGAGAAAGGTACAAAGTAATTTTAATCTCAATGTTTAAGGGAAGATAAAGAGTGTATACACCTACGCCATTGTGATCGATTCTGAGCCATGTCACCTAGAGTCTCCAACCATTGGTTACGATAGTCACGTGGACACCAACCAAGTAGTCTGCATCTATTAACATGGCTAAGACCAGAAGTTAGTGACTTTAAGCACTGATGTCACGTTTTGTTTTGGCCGTCCCTAACTCTCTTCCAACCATCGCCGACACTAGTCAGCATTGCGCGTCATGGTAGTTGGTGTTCAGGAATACGTGACGCATGGCCCAACCATCTCAGTCGATGAAGATTCATGACCTCATCAACTGATTTACCATCATTCCCTAATGCCTTGTGTCTAACCTCACTATTACTTACCCGGTGATCCCAGCAGATGCGAGCAATATTTCTAAGGCATCTGTGGTCAAATACTAGTAACTTACGAGTATCTTCTACTCTTAATGGCCACGTTTCGTATCCGTAAAGTAGAACAGAGCGAACTGCTGTTCAGTATACTCGTCCCTTAATTGATAGACGGATATCTCGTCTTCGCCATAGGTGACGTAAGTTTGCGAAAGCCAAACGAGCTTTTTGAATCCGTGCTGAGATTTTGTCAGACACCAACCGATTAGGGCTGATCAGACTTCCAAGATAAGTGAAGTTGTCGACGCGTTCGACTACTTCACCCCCTATCCTTAGTTCAGGTGTTGACGCAGACCAGTCCTGGAGTAACAATTTATATTTAGAAGGGTAGAAACGCATCCCAAACATCCTGGTATTATTACTCAGTTCTAACAGAAGACTCAGCATTTTATCAGCGTCTTCACCTGGCAGGACTATATCATCTGCGTATTTTAAGTCGAATAGTGGACCCCCTTGATAGCAGATCAATTCCTGTAAATTCAGTCGACGAGAGTGTTATTTCCAGCAATAGGTCTATAATGAAGTTAAACAAAAATGGGGATGGTGAACAGCCTTACCGTACATCATTTGTGGTCGCGAAGTCAGATGACAGTTCGATATAAGCCCCGGCTGATTTAGTTGTGTTCGAGTTAAGAGCCCTCAAAGGGTTTATGTACTTAGATTGTCAAATACAACATGGAGAACATCAACCCATGATACTCGCTGTAGAAGCATTGGAAGTTATAGGAAATGTCATCTACCTGGACAGCATCATCTATGATCTTGGGTACAAAGAGGCACCAAATGCATATACGCCACACAAATCGAATGATTTGTGTGAGGGCTGGAACAATGCCCGTTTGCCTAAACCGAAGAACAAGGAGGATCTGATGTTGACGTAAAGAAAAGAATTGGCAAAGCAACGGACGCATTCCTACAGTTGAAGAACATATAGAACTCAAAACAACTGTCGGCAGGCCAACATCCAAATCAGAATCCTTAATACGAACGGAATTCACCAATCTCTTTTCCAAGCTCTCAAATGTCGCCAACAGTTTCATTTGGAAAGGATAGGAGGCTTGATGGCTTGTGTTAGTCCTGGCTATGATGGTCTCTCAGCTGATCCAACTTTCTTTTGGGGGAGTCGACGGATGGAGCCTCAACCACGTGCTGAGGTAATGAATTCCGCTCGTTGATTATTCGATGGGAACGTCGATAGTCAGCTGACAAGTAATTCGTTCTGGACTTGTGAACTTTTTTGGAGTGTCCTCGTAGATTTTCTGTTTTGGAAGATGAGAAAAATGAGGGCATATCATGTGGAAATTTGTCATTAAACAATTTGAAAACTGCAATCAAGTTGCCTCTGATTCTTCGAAATGATAGCGGGAATCGGTTCAGCTTGGTCAGTCAAGTACCATACGGGAGCTTCGCTATTCCGGAAATCAGCCTAGTTTCTGTTCTCTGAACCCTTTCCAAGAGTTCACTGTCGTTTTCTAGGCAGGGGCTAGCTGCTTGTATGCAGTACTCAAGTTTAGGACGCACGGATACTGTATACAAAGTCAGAAACGTTTTAGCGTCGAGATGGTTAAAAGCCCTGCGTATGGACCATAAAGTCCTAAAACCTTTGGCGGCTATTGCACGGCAGTGTGCAGTAGTCTTTAAGCCATGACTAACGATGACTCCTAAGTCATTGTGTGTCTTGACAATAGGTACCCCAGTGTTATTCATCATGTATGTATCTGTACCTTGATGGCCAATATACATCACAATACACTTGGAAGTATTTTTCGGCAATCGCCAGGTTTAGGATCATTCAGATAATTTTTACAGGTCGTTTTGGAGTTCTAAGCTATCACCCTTACTTTGTATCGTTCTCCATATCTTGACATTGTCAGCATAGAGCAAGACTGATGACGATAGTAGACGAGGGAGGTCACAAGAGGAACAACGCTCGCTTTGTATAGCCCATAATATTATTCCAATATGCAGTGCAGGTCCGGTGTAACGCATTCTGCTGTTGCGTGTAGTCACAGCAAAATTCACAGCATAATTTACTTTTTTGATTAAAATCACATAATAACATGACAAATTCATTTTTCGCGTGAACGTAAAGTTGACAATTATTCCGGCTTAAATCACACTCAATTGATGTGACAACGTTGAGTATATTTCCGCTCTATAGTTTAATCATTTTAATTCCAAGGGTGTACCGAAAACCCTCAATTCAGTTGTTTAATTGTGACTGTGTTATATCTATAGTTCATTGTCACCTCATCACAAGTTTGGTTAAAATTCATTAAAATGAGCAGAAAAAATTTCACATCAATAATGGTCACATAAGTGATATTTGGTTTGGATGGAATTGTTAATTTTGAACCAATCCTATGCAAGAACTTTGAAACTGAGTTAAAGAAATCAAAAGACTAGAATTTCTTCAATAAACAATGTTCATGTGATTGGTTGGGTTGGTTTCTATGTTATTTGTTGTAACAACTGGAGGTTAATTTGTTTTGAATCCTTCCACAGGTGTGTAAGTTACATTAGAAACGATTTACTAGGTCTATATACTTACTTAATTATTCACGAATAAAAACGATGTAAGCTATATATGTGACTTTGAATTTTTTTGCAAGAAACAAAAATGGGGACATATTATTATTTTAGTTGATTTTAATGATCTTTAATTTTCCTACCAAATAAATAAAATGGCGTCATTCATAACAGCTATTTCGTTGTATGTTATGCTATTTGATTTGCTGCGAAACGGTGAATACTTCAGACAGATACAGTACATTTCTAGTTTTTTTTGACTGGGTTAGAAGCTCTCATACCCTTATTGTATCCTGTGTCAGGGCTAGATGAGTATGTTTGTTAAGTTCGAAACAATTTCTTAGTAACACATGCATTAAAATCGCTACTCCTGCAGTCACAGTAGATATCGGGTGAGGAGTTCATTTCCGGAGATTCACATCAAGTTATAATCAGACCGTTTTCGCCATCTTAAAGAAAGCAAGAAAAGATATTTCAGCAGAATGGCATGAACTCATTTTATTTCATTTGGTTCTTGCCAGCTGCTCAAAACCTTTTATATTCAAAATTCTTAATTTAAAAGTAGGTTTAAACTACTTACATGAAATATTTTACTCGGGATTTATTTTGAATATATCGGTATAGTATTTTAAAGGTGTAAATTGTTGTTGGTGATGGTGACATCTTGTTTCTATGACCCATTTGCATTCTTGCGACAGCCCCAGTGAGACGTTTTACACTCACAATGAGTCTTTTTATGACTGGGTCTTTTGTTGGTTCTTTTTGTATGTGTTTTATGGTGCATGATCCTGTTGGGGGACATTTTTCCATTATTCTATATGCTTTACGCGTCTCAGGGTCTTGTGCATCCAAACAGTGTTGAACGTAGTCTGGGAGAGACTATATCGACCCTTGTTTTAGGACTGTTTCACCCACTGTATTGTCTACCACTAGGAATTAGAGGTGACGTTAAAACTGTGATGGAGACCAATCACTTAATGTTTCTCCTCGAAAAAAAATTTAGATTCTTTGGCCGTATGATAATGATAGACGGTTCATTATCACTCGTCTTAATATGTATGGTTGTCAAAGACTTCTTTGGCGACTGAAGTATGGAGAACAGCACATAAGTCTCTACAGCGGATCCCTTCAAATTTGATAGTGTCTCGTGAAATTATGTTCTGGTTGAGCAAACCACAACTCAAGGTCACTACGATCAAGTTCTGGGAGTCGGGCTTTCGTAGTCGTAACGGTGTCCATCTCCAGTGGTGACAAATCCTCCAGGTTTCGGGTTTGTATATAGTCTGACATGAGGTATATGACCAATATAGTAATATAATAAGAACGGAGTAAAATAATGACTACAACACAAATACCTTGAGATAAAAAAACTATGTATACATATATATGCCAAACTTTGGTTAAGGATAATTAGAAAGTCTACTTTTGCGAGCAAGTAAAAAAATAATAGTAACAATTAAATGAAATTAAATTTATGTTCAATGCAGAGCTCACCAGTTTTGTGCCGGTAGGTAACCCTCATCCTATTGATAGAAGAAACTAGACTAGTAATGAATAAGTCTTTATTTAGATCATGGGACAGTCACAGTGAAGTGGGAGGTTACCTGTTCAAAACGTACAAAGCTCAATATAAGATAATAGGAAATATAGTGCCTAAACAGAATAAAGAAGTGAATGAATACTTGAGTTTTATTGTTTTGACATATACTTAGCTGTTTGAAGTCAGCTCTTAACTAATCAACCTAAGTTGTTACATGTTCTCTGTAACTAAGTGTACCTCTTATCGATTGTGTATATGAAGGAATAATAAAAGGGATTTTCTCTTTTTACTGCCTCGTATGAAAACTGTTGCAGATTTGGTGAACCTTTTGTCTCCACTGGCAAAATAAAGAATTCAATCTCCATTTAATTGTTGCTCCGCTTTTTTTTCCTATATTAATATTGTTTTCTTTTCTCATCTTTTTGATACTTATCTTAGTTCTTTTATTGTACTTGCTTACATCTAAGATTAAGATAAAGGAACTCCACTCCAATGTTTTCTTTTGATTTTGTTTATTTTTTGGTCTTTACGAGTACTGTTATAGCGTCATCTGTTTCATGTTTATCTCTTGATTACCTATGTGTAAAGTTTCTTCTTTGAACACTCTATCTGCAAGTGCCGATACTGTCAGATTTCACGGAAAATTTCGATTATTGACCACTACTCCATACAGGTGATGTCCTACGCTCAGCTTATTTGAATATTTTTAAGACTTCTATTTATGCTTTAGATGGTAGCTAATCCTGCTCATATCTCAAGGACAATTAAAAAAAGATATATGCCACTGTATACACTAGAATGTTGGTATGAATCACTCTGCACTAGCATAAATATAAAAAGAAGGAGAGGGAAGCGCGGTTACTCGTTTTTCGTCAAGATCTATAAGTCGGTTAGTAATGTCCGTAATCCACCGTATTAGACTCTTATAAAAGCCTTTTTTAATCGAATTTTAGTTTAGTTATTATGTTTACAATAATTTTATATTTAGTTAATTTCAATATTTCAAGATCTGAACTTTTACTTTTGTAGGTTTACACATTTTAATGACCAGCCATGCCAACAAAGGGCAAAACACTGACAGCATGTTTTCCTTTGGATTAGTATCGTCACAATGGTAAGACGTATTTCTTAAAAGGTCAACTTTTTCCAGTAGTGTGAAATTCATGATTCGTAAGGAAGTCTGCAAGTTAGCATACAGAATGATCACGCGATGCCAACAGAATAGCCTAAAAACATATCTTTATGGAAGATACTCATTTGTTGGAGTTTCCAGCTTGAATGTTATCGTAAATAGAATTGAACAGAACAAACAATCAAGCACCCCTGATGAGTTTTTGATACCTTTTGAGGTATGATTTTCCATTTGGATTGTAAATTTACGATTTTTTAAAAATTAGCTTGCTAAATACGATATTTTCAGCAATTCAGAAAGCCAGTCTTTAGATCGTGCCATTCAAAGTATTTGGAATGATTATACCTTGAAACCACTTAGTTTGGATATCACCAATTGTATACAGTTCTGGGCGTATGCCTGTGTTACAAAAAGTGACAATAACAGGGATGGAAGGGTTAACAAACTTCAAGATTTGACCTTCGAAATGTACTTTTCAAAGTTTAAAGTGGAATGTTTGGTTTTAGATTATTTAGTGAATCTAACGCTAATCGGTAAACCATCCTTAGTTTCATCATTACTCGTAAAAAGCCTTGAGACACCTAACTTTTGTTTGTCTGAATGTACTGAGTCTTTAAATGATTGTGATAAAGGATCCGATGTACGTTTTGGGTAAGTGCCTATTTTACAATAATTGTTACTTTTTTCAGTTATCTAAACATGACTAACTTGGGAAAAATTTCACTTCATTTGGCTACGGATCCAATCATTTTAACCTCATCTCCCGTCGGAATGTGAGACAGTAAAATTTTCTTCTAATATGTTAATCCACTCAACCAATCTTATTATAGATCAAAAAAGAAATCGGTGGCTTATTTCGGTTCTCATGGCTCATAAATAACGACTTAATTTAAAACCCCAACTATCTTTTGTCTTTTTATATATTTATTTCTACATATCCCAACCCCATCTTTTCTATAAACTAAAACTCAATATATTGAATACTCATTACTGTCAGTTCATATATTTAGTCTTTAAAAATCAATATCAGTCCAATGTAGACATTTCCACATTGTCACCTTATCGTCAAATTGGACACCAAATCGAAAATGGTGTTAGTTATTATGGATATGTGCTAAGCATAAGATGCATACGACATCTCAGTGTAACCATAATCTTCGGCTCATCGGTTGATTTTCAGAGTCCTTGATAGTCCTCCATCTTCACGTCTAGGAGTTTATCATCAAATGCTATTAGGTTTGTAGATAACAATTGTCAAACTAGTCAGATTTATTGAAACTAACCAAGTGGCTGCAGTTATTTGTTAGTGACAACTAATGAAACGAATATTTTGGAATTTGTGGACTTAAAAACTGGAGTGGTATGATAATTAGAAGTATTCGAACCGGTTTGGTAACTAAGAACTTTCGAAATAGTGCAATTTAAGGCATGTAGAACTAGATGAGCACAACTAGACGTATTACATTTGGAATTCGTAATAAGCACACAGTCAAGTACAAAAGAATCATCAGTTAGCACAATTACCACGAAAGGATACGTTTTTTTTTGGCTAAGGTTCTTTAAGACGACAGGAAGGTAGAAATGGTTTGACATTTATTCGGCAAAAATGTGACGGTAAGCAAATATATCTCTGACTACTACTCAGTACCATTTACGTAAATGTGAGCGAGTCTATCAGCTTCTCTTGATGTTAGGGATTTTCGTCTGGTGACATAATTCAATGTAGTGTGCACTTTTATTTCCATCGTAGGTTCCTCATGGAAATTATTTTCAATGTAGTGTTTATTTTCATTTGATATCGACTGTCAGGCATTGAATGAAAAGCTCGAATCCGCTTTTGTCTGAACAGGAGATTAATATTGTTCAAACATTCCCCCGAATGCCCTGGTACGGCCGAGAGTAGGGAGAGTCACCTCTCCCCCTCGAAATGCTCTCACATGGCCACGCGTATATAGCCTCTGTCAAGGAAGTCCTACTCACTGTCTTCTCGTGGCGGGGGTGTTGTTCACGAAAGTGAGAGGACGAAAAGCGAATGTCCGGCGCTTTAACCGTGTTGGTGGACACGGAAAGTCCACCTAGGGGAGTTGGAAAACCCTGATTCCAAACCAATGGTGCACATGGGCTCCAGTATCCTGAGGAATCAAATGGTGTATGAAACAGTCGTTGGTCACCGGGTACCATGGGACTGCATCTCCTCACGATGCTCCACTGCCTTGTGGATCCGACCTTTAGGTCAAAGGCTCTGGGAGTGGGTCCCTTAAGAAAACCACCTTCTTCAGTCTGGGCAGTATCTCAGCCCTCACACAAATTAAATGAGATTTGTGTGGCGCATATGTATCCGGTGCTTCCTTGTACCAATATTTATGTGTCTAAATAAAGCAATAAGAATAAATAAATTGTTCAAACATAAGTTTACCCTATATTGTAGAGCTAATACGTGTACTTAGTGAGATTAGATATGCAGACATTGTAAAATATTTCATGTCAGATTCCTTTTTGATATTGTTTACATTTAAAAATTTTTAGGTGATGTAAGTTGAGGAAATATAATTATATGAAACCACAAATATTGCTGTATAATGTAAAAAGAAAAATTCACTACATTTAGTTGTTTACGATAATTCAGAATTACATGACATATTTTATGATTACTCATATATTTAGTATGTTATCCGAAAAAAATACATTTTATTTGCTTTATAACGGTTACATTTGTATGCTTTTATGAAATTCAAATAAGATCCATCTTTTAAAATGTTTTACAAATTCAAGATGGATTTCTGGGGTTAAAGAAGCTTGTGATTTTCGCATATGGAAAGCCTGCTTACACTTTATTTTGATCAATGAGACCCAAATAAATAGATTGGTCAAAAGTGATTATTTGGGATACATGAATTCGACAAAAAATTCACTCATGTTGCTGGCTGTTTATCAATGCGATTCGAGCCTGCCACGTTTCTATGAAACTAGTATAGTATATTCATACGAAACTGATACTTGTGATTCTTCAGTGTATATAAGGCTACACAGAAATTCTAAGGATCCATTGCAGGTAATATCATGCTTATAAACTTAAACCGAAAATCATATTGATAATGTATAAATATATGATCCAGATTTCTCACTTTTCCACTTAAATTATCCCGGACTAGTGATTTGTCAATTACACATATTGTTTTAGATGCGAAAATCGAGTTTAATGAGATAGGTTAAAAAAGCTTTTCAAACTTGCAGGTTAGCGGGTATCTGTGCAAGGTAAAAACTTTAAAACTTTGTATGAATCTAATCGTTTTCTGACTATGTTGGGCAGGGTTTTTAACGGTTAAAGTTTGCTATCGTGATGCTCTCAGCATTCCTGAAAATATCCATCATTAAATTCATGGTTCGGTTTTGTATGTGAGGACCTACTCCTACTTCAGTTCTATCAATGTTGAAGTAACATAGCATAAACAACATATGGTAGACCATGTTGGTTGATAAAAGTTGGCAAGTTTATTCAAAATGTTATTTATACGGTCGTAGTATTTAACTTGAGCGACTCCTTGTTTTTTCCGAGTCATTAGATGTTTATGTTTATACAAATTCGCTGCACTTCAAATTTCAAGCTGCTATTCATATTCGAATGACAAAGACTAGTTTTTAGAATACTAATTAGTTTTTACTTGAGATTACGGTCATCAAAATTTTTAGATATTTTCCCAAGATTCCCTAATCTTATCTTGTATGGTGAATCATTCACCTTCTGTCGTGTGGATATAATGTGTACATAGTGCTTCTGTAAGGTCTCAACATTTACATATTCACAATATGACCTTGATGATCGGAATGATGGTGACTGTTCTTATTTGGATGTATTCAACATTGTAGCAAAACTAGCCTTAGAAAAACAATTAGTCACACTTGTTTTTATTATTTATATGCAGCATCTTTACTTTTCATTATATGGTGTTCCTTTTTTGTACCATGACGTATCAAATGGAATCATTCTGCGTGTACCAGGCTCTTCACTAACTGGAATTCCTTGAATATTGTATTGACTTTTTTTGTCAGGATGTTGTATTTACTAAATTGTCAGTTAGTCACAACGTAGAACTTCGTACGTACGTACATCAGTTCGAGTTGCCATACCACATTAGCACAGAGATGCAGTTGTCGATTCAAATCCCATAGTGGTAGAAGTAGTAGGAGTATAATCAGAAATCCAAAAGATTAGGGTTTGAAGAAATTATTGAAGGAGTATAGTACAGTGAAATAAATTTGAAAAGAGAAAAAGATAAAGACATGAGGAATTCAGAAGATTAGAATTTGGTAGAACACAAAGAGTGGATGCATCTTCGCCATTGCAAACGATTTTGAGCCATGTCATTCAAGGTCTCTAACCATCGGTTGCTGTCATCTCGCGAATCCCAACCAGGTAGTCTACACCTACCAACATGGCCCAGTCCACTTGTCAGTGACTTCATCGATTTGTGCCACGTTTTGGTCTGGCCACCCCTAGCTTTCTTCCAACCTACTCCTACACCATGAAACATTGCACGTCGGGGCAGTTGGTGGTCGGGCATACGTAACACATGTCCCAGCCATCTCAACTGATGAAGTTTCACTACTTCATCAATCGATTTGCCATCCCTACCTAGTACTCGTTTCCTAACAACTGCATTACTTACCCGGTGGTCCCAGGATATACGAGCAATGCTTCGAAGACACCTATGATCGAACACTAGTAGCCTACGAATATCCTCTACTCTTATTGGCCATGTTTCACTGCCATAAAGTAGGACGGAGCGAACTGCTGCACAGTAAACCCGTCCTTTGGTTGCTAGACGGATATCTCGCCTACGCCATAAATGACGCAAGTTGGCGAAAGCTAGACGAGCCTTCTGTATCCGTGCTGAGATTTCGTCACATACCAGACCACAAGGGCTGATGAGACTCCCAAGATAAGTGAAGTGGTCTACTGGGAAAAGTAAAATGTGACAGCCCTTGTACGAGGGTGAGAACAATGATTGAATATATCAAAACGATTTCCATATTAACTCATTGAAAAACATTTGCTGTGCCAAGCATTATATATTTATGGATAGCATTACCATGTTGCTCAATACCAAATGTAAGCGTATTATTAAAAAAACTAGCTTTGTGTATAAGTCTCTCAAGCATTGCATTTCATCTCTCAGTTTTCTTTCGATTATGAAACGGAGAACTTTATCTCATCGTGTTTACAGACATAAGCGTAAATAAATAGGAGTGACTTACTCACCTGCATCGTCAAATGGTGATCGCGCAAAAAGACATCCCAACGAAATGTTAATTCAGTTTGGAAATTCACTTGTTCTTTTTGCCTACATGTTGCAGGTTATTCATGATGGAGATAAGGCAGTTATCGAATTAACTGGAAATGGATTTGCCATGTGATTTGTCTATTTATTCCCAAGCAGGACTAACTGGATTATAAACGAAACTCTCAGTTTCCTAACTTATTTCACTATTTCGAACTTGCACAATTAAAATTTATACTACTGGTAATTAGAGTATAATGCTTAGTATCTTTTTATTCTTTTTGTATAAAAACATTTTTCAGTTAAAGTTTACTATTTTGTCAAGTGATGAAGATAGTGTATCTCTTCCAAAATTCACTTCCGAAAATTCAGAATATTTTACATGGAATTTGGTGAAAAATATTTCACCTAAAGAAAATTTGACCATTTTAAAAGAATCAGTGAAACAATTTTGTGACTCTGTTCATGGTTTGGAATATTTTGATGATAAGTTTGTTTGTCTAGCGATTCCTACTTTGTTTTCTGCAATATCAAAAATCTCTGCCCGTTGTTTATCTGAAAACAAGAACAGTATGAAAAGTAATCTGAACTCTCATCCATCTAGTGGGGAATTTAAAAAGTTAGTTGAGCTTTGTTATTTTTCACTATTGCGTTCATAGTTGGAATATTACGTTGCGTGTCTGTCAGTTCAGTTTTATTATTTCTCACTCAGTGAGTTCGTTCGTAGTTGACATACCGGCAGCGTAAAGCTTTTTAAACGTCCCAGATACATCTTGTGACTGTTTAATCTAGATATTCGTTTTAGGACTGCTAAGTCATACTCCGCCTGTAGCTCCTCTGGGGGTTACTGCCGGTCCCAAGCCCGGGTAAAGGAGGAGGGTTGGGCGTGGGGTTAGCGACCCCATCCCGTAGAAAATCAACTCGCTAAAAATACGCCAACCAGAAAAAATCATTCAAACCATTCAAACTCTGCCCTGGGAGTAGAAGGAATAATTATGACGTCTCATGATGAAAGCCGAGTTCCTTCGGAAGTCATGAGGCCGATGCACCTTCTTACAACCAGAGCGACAATTTTTATAGGTACATGGAATGTCCGAACAATGTGGGAGACCGGAAGAGTCTTCCAAATTGCTGCAGAAATGAGAAAATACAACCTGGAGGTGCTTGGAATCAGCGAAACACATTGGACGCAGGTTGGACAACAACGACTGTCTTCAGGTGAACTTCTGTTATACTCCGGTCATGAAGAAAAAAATGACCAGAAAAGCACAAAATGCACTTATTGGATGGGAATCTCATGGACCAAGGATCATCAAAGCCTCCTTCAAAACAAAGAGAGAGGGCATTAAAATGAACGTCATCCAATGCTAAGCGCCTACCAACGACTACGATGAAGACGCTAAAGACCGATTCTACGATAGGCTGCAGTCGATCTTCGAAAAGTGCCCAACCAAGGACCTGACAATTCTGATGGGAGATCTCAATGCTAAGGTTGGAATGGACAACACTGGATACGAATTCGTCATGGGACAACATGGACTGGGAGAAAGGAATGAAAATGGTGAGAGATTTGCAAACTTATGTGCCTTCAATAAACTGGTCATAGGTGGCACCATATTCCCACACAAAAACATACACAAAGCCACTTGGATTTCACCGGATCACACTACAAGGAATCAAATCGACCATATTTGCATCAACAAAAAGTTCAGGAAGACGATGGAGGATGTGAGAAACAGAAGAGGAGCTGATATAGCATCCAATCATCATTTGCTGGTCGCCAAGATGAAACTAAAACTCAGGAAGCACTGAACAACGGCGCGGACAACATCACAAAAGTTTAATACGGCCTTTCTTCGAGATGCTGACAAACTCAACAAATTCAACATAGCCCTCAGCAACAGGTTCCAGGCCTTTCATGATCTACTCAGTGGAGAGGGGACTACCATCGAGAGCAACTGGAGAGGTACCAAGGAGGCAATCATTTCAACATGTCAAGAGGTTCTGGGCCAAAAGAAGCACCATCACAAGGAATGGATCACTGTTGGTACACTAAATAAAATTGAAGAGAGAAGGAACAAGAAGGCAGCAATCAACACCAGCCGAACAAGAGCGGAAAAAGCCAAGGCACAAGCCGAATACACAGAGGCAAACAAGCAAGTGAAGGGGAGCATCAGAACCGATAAACGTAAATATGTGGAAGATTTAGCGATGACAGCGGAAAAGGCTGCAAGAGAGGGAAACATGAGACAACTGTATGGCACAACAAAGAAACTTGCTGGGAATTACCGTAAGCCAGAAAGACCAGTGAAAAGCAAGGAAGGCAAAGTAATCACCGACATTGAAGAACAACGAAACAGGTGGGTAGAACACTTCAAAGAACTCTTGAATCGACCAGCCCCACTGAACCCACCCAACATCGGAGCAGCACCCATGGACCTCCCAATCGACATTGGCCCATCAACAATTGAAAAGATCAGCATGGCCATTAGACAAGTCAAGAGTGGCAAAGCAGCGGGACCAGACAACATCCCGGCAAAGGCACTGAAAGCAAATGTAGCAGCAACTGCCAAGATACTCCACATCCTCTTCAGTAAGATTTGAGATGAAGAACAAGTACCAAAAGACTGGAAAAAAGGACTTCTGATCAAGATACCAAAGAAAGGCGATCTCAGCAAGTGCGACAACTACAGGGGTAACACTCTTCTCTCAATACCAGGAAAAGTCTTCAACAGAGTACTGTTAAACAGGATGAAGGATTCCGTGGACGCCCAACTTCGAGATCAACAGGCTGGATTTCGTAAGGATAGATCGTGCACAGATCAAATCGCAACTCTACGTATCATTGTGGAACAATCAATCGAATGGAATTCATCACTCTACATCAACTTCATCGACTACGAGAAGGCATTTGATAGCGTGGACAGGACGACACAATGGAGGCTTCTTCGACACTACGGCGTGCCTGAGAAAATAGTCAATATCATACGGAACTCCTATGATGGACTAAACTACCAAATCGTCCACGGAGGACAACTCACCGACTCGTTTGAAGTAAAGACCGGTGTTAGACAAGGTTGCTTACTCTCACCCTTTCTAATTCTCCTGGTGATCGACTGGATTATGAAGACGTCAACGAATGGAGGAAAGCACGGGATACAGTGGACAGACAGGATGCAGCTTGACGATTTAGACTTCGCAGATGATCTGGCTCTTCTATCACAAACGCAACAACAAATGCAGGAGAAAACGACCAGTGTAGCAGTAGCCTCAGCAGCAGTAGATCTCAATATAAACAAAGGGAAAAGCAAGACTCTCCGATACAATACAATATTCACCAATCAAATTACACTTGACTGAGAAGCTTTGGAGAATGTGAAAACCTTTACATATCTGGGCAGCATCATTGATGAACACGGTAGATCAGATGCAGATGTGAGGGCGCGGATCGGCAAAGCAAGAGCAGCATACTTACAACTGAAAAACATCTGGAGCTCAAAACAATTGTCAACCAACACCAAGGCTAGAATTTTCAATACAAATGTCAAGACAGTTCTTCTGTATGGGGCGGAGACGTGGAGAACTACGAAAGCCATTATCCAGAAGATACAAGTGTTTATTAACAGTTGTCTACGCAAGATACTTCGGATCCGTTGGCCAGGCACTATCAGCAACAAGTTACTGTGGGAGACAACAAACCAGATTCCAGCGAAGGAAGAAATCAGGAGGAAGGGCTGGAAGTGGATTGGGCACACTTTGAGGAAATCACCTAATTGTGTCACAAGACAAGCCCTCACATGGAATCCTGAAGGTCAAAGGAGAAGAGGAAGACCAAAGAACACATTACGCCGAGAAATAGAGACAGACATGAGAAGAATGAACAAGAACTGGATAGAACTAGAAAAGAAGGCCCAGGACAGAGTGGGTTGGAGAAAGCTGGTCGGCGGCCTATGCTCCATTGGGAGTAACAGGCGTAAGTAAGTAAGTAAGGCATACGTTCCACCTATATTTCCCTAATTGGTGTTTTAGTAATTTCAGGGGCAATCACAATACCGTTGTGACTAGTAGCCTTGTATATGACGTTATATTTGTTTACTGAGTCACGCATCACCCTTATTATGTTTATCTCTGTTTGCCCTTTTCATAGATAACTGATTATTTATTTATTTATTTATTTGTCCATTGAATTTTGATGCAGAAACAAAACAAATCATAAGTTGGGTGACGTATTAATATGCCAAAAAATGGTTACATTTTGCTCACCATTTTGCTTTTTCGGTGATTGATTTGGACCGTGGTTTTACCGTTTTGTGGTTAATGCACGACTGCTTTAACTACTAAACTTCGTTTTTACATCATAGTTGCAATTTACTTTTATCACTGATGGTGAGACTTTTATTACGATGAGCATTGTCGATCCCTCTGAAGGCCGCCATCACTCACTAACCTATTAATCAAGGAATTTAGAAACCTGATACGATAGTATTTGTGAGTATTGTTATGACTTGTGCCCTGTCAAATATCACGTGGCTGAATGGTCAATCACAACACCGACTTATATGACCTTGGCCCTGTCCAAAACCAATGACGCGTTAACAAGTACGAGCAGACTATATTCCACTCGGAGTCCTTATCGGTACTTTTCCTACGCTATTTATTTATTTATTTGGGAATCAGTGTATGAAACTGAAATAATAATAATAATGGGAGGGGCAGTTCAGTTAGCAAATATACAACCAGAAAGAATTCTTCCAGTTAAAGAAGTTACAACCGTTTTTTATGAAGAAAGCAAAAGAAATTTACAGCACGATCGCCACTGGCTTCTACTCTGAGTCATATCTGATAACGTCTCCAGACATTGTGTTGCACCATCTCTAGGACCCCGACGAGGGAGTTGTGAAGGATCAACAGAAACTAGTCCTGAACAGCCTTCTTTGGTACCACGACACCATGTCATACACTGAACACATCTCCGCTTTTTCCAACCAGTCCCAGAGTCGACAAATAGTGCACGACGTGGAGTTCTCTGGGATGGCACTCGTAAGACATGTCCAAGCCACCGAAGTCGATGTTTCAATTTGGTGACACCAATTGGATTATCGTCTCTGAGCCCTAACACACGATGCCGAACCTCTGCATTACTAACATGGTGTTGCCACTTGATGTCAGCAATCCTTCGGAGACAACGATGATCAAAAACAGAGAGTTGTTTAACATCCTCAGCTCGGAGAGGCGATGTTCCACAAGCATAGAGCAAAACTGCTCTCACCGACGTGTTGTAGATCCGACCTTTTACAGCCAGACTGAGATCACAAAGGCACCAAAGATGGCCCAGATCGGCATTAGCCGATCTGACTTTCATTTTACGTGAATCGATCTCATCATTCTCGCCACGACCAGCACTTGTACAGCTACCTAGATACACGAACTTCTTGACTACTTCTATCTGCTCACTAGCCAGAGTGAGTGCAGTGTCAAAGTCCTGCCAGTCTTGTAAAATTACTTTGTACTTCGGAGGTGTCAAGTATATACCGTACCTACGGACACTGATCGCCAACTGATTAAGTGTGGATTGCATGGCTTGAGTATTACTGCACAGTAAGACAATATAATCCGCATACTCAAGGTCGAGAAGTCTTTCTCCAGGCAACATACCCATACCACAATTATCTACATTCATCGGAGCTGTTCCCAGAACGTCATCGATAGCAAAGTTGAGGAGGAATGGTAAGATTAGGCAAACTTGCCTAACCCACCATCTGAGTCCAAAACACAATTTCAGCTTCCACTGTATGAATCATGTATTTCAGGCATACGTGATTTATATACAAACAAATTAGACCGCATCGTACCATGGAATAGAAAAATAACAATTATATAAGATCAAGCCAAAAGTGGCTGTGATTGTGAGAGACTTTAACTTATAAATTGGAAATAACTAAAGAATAGTATATCGTATAATAGTAGTCAATATTTCAAATGAAAGCTTACAATAAAAGGAATACGAATTTACATATAATCTATTTACTTAGTATTTATCCAATAAGAGTATATGTAATAATTGGTATTATTACCAAGCTTTGACTTTATAATTTTGAATAAATTGAGCATTAGGTAGACTGTTATAAATAAATAATATATTTGTAATATACCAATGAGTAGAAAATTTAGAATTTCTGAAGTTTCGTGACTCAGTGTAAGCCACTTCTTCAGAGAACAAATAACCAAACTAAAATTAATCCAAGTTTAAATAGTGCAATGGAACAACACGAATATTATGTGATCAATCAAAAATCAGGTCTGAATAAACGAATGTCATGTCATTTCGGTTAAGGTGATTCATAAGCGACATGTATGTAAATTTGTGCGTGTGACTTTGATTGCGAGAAAGGATATAGTTTAATTTGTGAGGTAATAATCTAAATTGTAAATAATGTCAGACTAATTGGCTAGTATAGATAGTCCAAGTAGGATGTATGGTAAGGCCTTCTCTTCTATGAGAGCAGTAGAATTAAGCATTATATGGAACGCTTCATCTATTCTCCTTTCTTTGTAGCTGAAAAAACCATTTTGTAATATTTTGATATTTTCGAAATTGATTTGATGGTTGTTGAAAATGGAGCGAATCGCTATTGCCGATTTAATTAGAAGTCTATCCAGTTTTAGAGGATTATTTGGTGGTTTCTTTGTGTACCTAATGTGTTCTTTGGCTCGAGTTAAGATTTAGCGAGATGACTCTTCAATATACAAGGCATCATAATCTACACAACCTAATCTGTAGACACAGTTTTGTGTTGACAGAAAGGGGATTTTTTCTTTTGAGTGAACTAAAATATTTCAAAGTGTATTCGTTGTTTTGTACATACTTTAATCCTGTGTTATTTTAAGATTCTTTGGAGTTCTTCAATTGTGCCATGACGGTATGGTAAAACTACATTACCATTCCATGGTACTTCATTCTAATTATTATTATGACGCAATGAAACTTCTTGTTTTGATATACTTCTAATAATCTTCATAGAAAATTATCAAATTGTAAGATGCTGATTACATTTTTTTGTTCTTTTTCTTTATTCTCTTGCGTTGTGATAATCTTGTTAGTTCTTCTAAAAAGATGTAGGGCTAGCCAGATCTTTGCATTGAAAGGATATGCTGAATTGAAATCAATGTAACGATTAGAGTGTGTAGGTTTTCGGTAAATCGATAGATTTAGAATATTATTTAGATTTCTTTTCACTAAGGAATCAAAAAATGGTAACTCACCATGTTCATTTTCATTCTCCTTTGTTAATTTGATTTTCGATGAAAGTGTATTGATCCGTTTCGAAAAAGATCTTAGATGAGTCTTTTTATCACAACAAAGATATCATCTTCATATCTAAGCCAAAAATATAAAGGTCTCTCACTTTTCATTCTTAACAGTGCACACATGTACACACAAATTTACATAAATGTCGCTTATGAATCACCTTAACCGAAATGACATGACATTCGTTTATTCAGACCTGATTTTTGATTGATCACATAATATTCGTGTTGTTCCATTGCACTATTTAAACTTGGATTAATTTTAGTTTGGTTATTTGTTCTCTGAAGAAGTGGCTTACACTGAGTCACGAAACTTCAGAAATTCTAAATTTTCTACTCATTGGTATATTACAAATATATTATTTATATGTAATGATAGGCCATAAATATATCTTAGCATTTACCACTTATTTATTCTTCGTTATTATATAACAAGTATTTTAATCTACGAACTATGAAGATCACCGTGATTAAAGAAACTAGAAAAGGATTGGTAGACAGAAAGTTATTTGGGACTTTTCGAGTACAGATTTTCAGCAATTAACTCAATATGAAAAACGGCCAGATCCTATGTGACTGATAACAGTTTCGAACTGCTTCACTAAGTTTCTTGAAACCCATGTTCACTTTAACTGAACTTTCTTTTTGTACACAGTTTTAATTTTTTTAGCTTTTGATAATCTTTCTTGTTTACAGTGTTATAGAGTATAACAACTCACGTCAGTTTTTACTTTGTTTTGTTTTAATGTCAGATATTCACGAGACATCAGTCTCCAGATTAATTCATCTACACACGCAAAACCTACATTCACTGAACTCATCGTTTCGTATTCATGGAGCTATAATACAGTAGTTTGTCCATTTAGCTACTCATTATTTGGTACAATATCCAAATCTGGTTACCCCTTATAAGGTCCATAAAGTCATGTGGTCTCTATCCTTCACATAATAGACGGGTCTCATAGTCAAGTGCATTAACCATCATCGTTTTACTGAATTATATCTTTTCTATTATATAGCCCCATTGTGTCTTACCGTAATTGCCTACTGCAACCTTTCACAATGCTCGTTCTAGTGCACTTAAATACTACAACGCGGCTTTCTTCATAACATCATTTATAAGACATCCTCATTCCTTTAGTTTTTAAAATGAAATTGTTTTCTTTAGTCATTAATGTATTAATCGAAATTCCAGTATTTCCTCTTGTAGTAGCACTTAAGTATCATCTGTATAATGATAGTCATTTATCTAATAAATGTATAAGTGTGTATATTACTGAAAACAGCCGTACAAAAACATAACCACCTTAATGGGTGATGATAAGAAAAAAACTAGAGGATAAAAGGGGTGATACTATAATTAAGGAACAAAAGAAGGAAAACAAGCTAAAAAAAATTAGGAACGGAGTTATGTATGAAATTATAGTGTTTGAAATGTATGGGAAGATAGTGAGTAAACTAATCTAGATTGTAAATATTGTACAAGTATAAAGTTTACTCCTCCTTATGAACCTCAGATCATGGAGTGGAGTTTCGTTCTTGTGGATACGTAAACATTCATATTAAAATGCATGAACACATCCTGTTAATTATGAGCAAAATCAAAATTTTACTCCAAGATGTAATTCAAGGTATCAGTTGTGTTATAAACTATGGTTGGATACTTCAAAACTAGTTTTTAGAGTATCACTGCTAGATTTGTGTACTATGGTAATTCACATAAATGAACTGTTTTAGTAGAGTGGGTAAAAGCAGTTTACATTTCTTATTGATTTGTTTATGGCTTAATGATAACTTTAGTTAATGCATTCATCGAATCTAGAGATAAATAAAGAGATGTGTGTCTTGTTAAAATCTTGATATATTTGATTTAGAACTAAAAAACGTAATGAGTTTTACAATTTTTATCATGCAAAGGAATCTAGAGATCTCTTGTTATGAACTCCTATATGGTTCGCAATTTTAGATAACACACTCTTCTAGATAATGCATAGTAGCTCAGCTGCATCCAATCTTCATCTTTCTCATGAGTCTTATCATGATCCATCCTCACTTTATTTTACCTTATTACTGACAGTTTTCCATTTTATTTAGAGTTTTCTGTACTTTGAAATGTAACAAATTGATGGCCTGTGCTACTTTTCTACGTCTGACATTTTTCTGTCCATTGTTATCGTAACACTCCGCATTGATGAGAATTAATTAAAACAACTGAACTCTTAAATACTTTGTATCCATTTTTCAAATGATTGCTTCCATCAATTCTAAAGAATTTTCAGTGATCCTTTACTTTTCTGCAACACATTTTAACGAGTTCATCGTTGTACCAACTGTTTATAATATTATATCAAATTGTTATATGCTGTCTATTCTTATGCAAACAAAGTAGTAGTGAACGGAATCGTTTAAGTTCCTATGAAATATTATGTTCTGAGTAAAAATTCAAAATTTGATATTACTGTAGTCTATTGTAGGATTTTATTCTACATCGTTCTCTTCTTGAATGCTATTAGATGGACATATGACATAAAAATCTGTTTGTATTTAATCATGTTGCCTAAACGTTCTTATTTTCTCCCCTAGCTTGGATTTATCTGAATCTCATATTCTAGAAGCTTCTTTACTATCTGAAGAGGGTGTTAAAACTTTATATCAGAATTCTGGAGGACGTCATTGCTATAGAATTACTTCAGAACAATTAGATGAAGAATCTTTTCCAAGAGAGCCTCCTAAAAAGTTAAATGGTTTCATTAGAAGTGGCGAATCATCTGACAATAATTTAAATCAAGAGGATACTTATAATTATGATCCGAATCGTTATCGGAATTTTCCTAATCTTATTACTTCATGTGCATCAGTTTTACCAGTTAATAGAACTTCAACACCTGACACAGGATATACTGTTAATGTTGGTTCCAAAGCCGTTTTCCCGGGAATTCATTCAAGGTGTGATATTATCGATATAACAATGCATTTTCATCCTATCCTCTCCAACCTTCCGATGAATCAGTTGGAGCGTCTTGAACAAATCATTACTAACATGTTAAGGAAGAAGAAAATTGGCTGTTTGGCACCAAATACTTCAAAAAATCGTTTGGTACATGGTGATAACCAGGATTGTTTTCACAAGCATGATATAAAACAGGGTATAAGTATTGGTGTTAACACAACTTTTGTATCCAGTAGAACCAATTTAAAGAATAAAGGTAATTTTATGTGTAATATCTTACAACATATCTCTTACTGAAACTCTATTTCCTTTTGTTTAATTATTCATAGTCAGTCGATATCTAAATCTTTTTAGTGTTTGCATTCATTAAATAGGTGTAATTTCATTCGTAAATCGTATATTTTATGTAAACGTCTGTTGACGTATTATCGCCAAAAGTATGGAACATGTTATACAGACTTTCCTCAGCTATCTGACTATTATGCAGATTTTATGAAATGACTTCAGTAATTGAAATGCTTCCTGGAATCTGTTCATCCTTTAACCTAAACATTTAGATTAACTCCAGCATATTTAGAACCCACGAAACAATTTTTCACACAAACGCAAAAGCCTTATTCTTTATTGGTGAATTCATATCACTTCATGTTAATACATCAAGGTACAGCACTTTATATCCTATAAGATAAAAAGAACGTACAACATGTACTTCTGCATTCATCACCAACATCTTAAGTTTTAAATTTATTTCAAAGTACACTTCGTACACAACGAGGGTCACAGGAGTTTGGGAAGCGATCGTAATCGTTCCAAGTCGAGAATTGGACTGTTTATAACGTTGGGCTCATAATCAAAAATGTGTGAGTATTCAGATACTGTTAAAGTTGGTTGTATTGATGTATCTTTTTCTGATGAACAACCAGACAAGGTAGACAGATACTTAGTGTCACGGTTGCATATTTCAGCATGTTGTGTCATTTGTAATTTATCTAGACCCAACTCATTCATTATATTTGGGAGCGACTCTCCAGTTGTAAGGTCAGGTGATTTTGAATCTTTAGACACAAACGGAGTGAAATATGACGGGTCACTCTGTTATATACTATTAAAAGTAAGTACTGATAACTTACTGGACCTCTTATTAGACTATTAATCTATTTATATTCCTATGGTATAACTATTCAGTAACTGGATTATCTATGTCTATATTCATCTTATTACTAGCTTCATTTTGACTTATTGATTATTATTATATGATTTATTGTTCCTAAATTATACTCGGTTTATTGAGTACTGTCTCCCACGCTTCCAGCCACGTTTGGCTTGATTTTGTACAAATATTATTTTCTATTTTATGGTGTGGTCTGCCTGTCTGTTATATAAACAAAGTATGCTTGAAATAAACGATTCATATTTCCGAGGCTGCCATTGGTGTTCTGGACTTAAGTGGACGGACTAGGCGGATAAGGGCCAATAAGGACGCTAGATTACTCATACTAATCGAACGTCATTGTCACAGTGTGAAGGTCGTAGAAGTCGTATTCTATTGGTGGATAATTTGCACGACTTAGGTCCTTGATAAATTCGTAAGGTCATAACGAATCAGCGACGACTTTGATCAAGTCATAACAATTGGCTACGGCCTAGGTCAACACAAAACAATTTGGCGACGGCTAGGTCAAGTCATAACACACTCAATGGAGTACACACAGAATCATCCCTTCGGTCGTTAAAACAAGTATAGTTATGTAATGCTTTTTCGTGGTTAGCGGTCGGAGTACTACTTGCTACTGGCGCAGTACTTTGTTTACATTTATTATCTCCACAACATTCAATTATACCATGTCGCTTCATATAATCCAGTGTCGCTAAGCTGTAGTCGACTACTGTAGAACTATCTGTATCCACTGTTCCGCTATCAACAGCTTTGTTACCCAAATATTTATTTACTAAAGAAGATAAGTAAATACTTTGATCGGTGTCGCCTACACATCCACTATTAAGAAAGTTTTCGTTTCTCTTCTTCACTTTCACTAAATGTATATCTTGAATAGATTCTGGAACAGCTAATTCCTGGTTCACATTAAGCTGGTTCGTTGAATGACTGGGATCAACGTATGTACCAGTGTCAGCTCTAAAAAAAGATAATGAAAGTATGGTATCAAAAAGAATGGTTAGGAACATATTTCACAAAGGTTAGCAAACGACTGGTGTGCATTTACATCTGGTCCACTGTACTGACTGACAGCCATTTCCACATGTGTTCCATTGAGTTTTTAATACGGAACAGGACCAATAGTGCAATAACTTATGGTATAAGGTAAAAACTGAGGAACGAAATAAAGTTTAGTAACTCCTTTGCTGTTTGATAAATGGACGACTCAGCAATACCAACCATCTGATAAACTTGTTTGGATCAGACTACAAACGATTTGAAACTATTCCATTGAAATTTTTATCACTATCTACACGATTGTTGATACAATCGTCTTTTTCATGAAAAACAAAAAGAATCTAATTCGATGTACGCAATTCTTTATCTTGATTTATCATTATGAACACTTTATGCACATCTTTTTGATTCATTGTTACAACACTTAAATCTTTATCTGGTCTTATTATAGTGCTGCTTGTCCAATGCTTCTTCAGTTTTAGTTTTACCCTGGTCACTACCGCCTGATCGTAATCTGAAGCTTTTTCAGTTCCTTGCTTTACTCCTACATCTGTCATGGGTTCTCTAATTTTTTTCATCCATAAATGTGTGATCAATCTGGTCTCCCATAGTGGGGGAACCCATGCAGCTCTGTGTTTTTATATGGAAAGATGCTGTTTTTATAAATTTCTTCGTTATTAGGCAGTCGAATTGTTTTCTCAGTTTGTTATGAGAAATTCGTTTTGGAAAATTTGGTGTTTCCAAATGTGATATATGCAGTTAGTTTTCGGACAAATTTTATATTTCTGGCCTATTTTTTGAGTCCAATGGATATATAATTGTCGGTCACAATTAACAAAAAGAGTGCTCTTCTTTCGAAAAGGTGGTATTTTTTGTTTTTTTTTAGTACTATAAATGTATCATTAAAATACTACAATGTTTTCTGATTAGAACTTATGCTGAGTGTTCTTTTTTCAGAACAGCTAAGCAATACTCAAAGTTGTGATAGTATGAATAATCAGGATGTGCGATCTTTAGTTTCTAAAAGGAAATCGTCCTATCCTAATGATAGTTTAAGCATCGTACAACATCACAACAATAATGTAAATTATACAAGACGAGATGCGTTTACGAATTCTGGCCCTATATTTCAACTCAAATCATCGAGCCCGATGCATTCAAAAGGCATAAAGGAGGTAAGTTTTATTTAAAATTTAGTTATTTCCTTTCTTTTTTGCACTAGAATCGAAAAGATTACGCAGTCCCTTTTAAGATATTTTGTGGAATATCTTTGATGATTTACTCCCATCAAAGTTAGGGTCTCAACTATTATTGGGTACCAAAGTTAGGAGTGTTCCTTAGTACAACTTCAATACTATCTCTTGGTTACTTATATCTTTGTCTTCGATTAATTTTATTCGAAAATGCAAAAGTACTCGATTATTTGTATTTATTCAAAATCAAATGTGTTGTAGTGCACAGTCTGATAATTTTTATTTCTTAAATGTGTGACATTGCTCATAATTGTTTATAATGCTTTAGATATACATATCATTTAGCTTCACATTCTTGAAACCCAGTAACCCTTAACACATACCTTATCAATCTGTCTTTTCAAATCATATTCTCAAGGTTTGATCTTTCCTTTTATCATTGCTACTACATTATTTCGAATACTTTTGTTATCCAATCGTATCTTGCTGATCAGGTATGGCAACTTGGGCTTGTACGCATCTGTACCAGGCTTTTTGTTGACAATGTTTATTTCCTGCTGACATCCATTTAATACGCAGACAAAGTGACGTAAATCTTCATGTTAGGTATGGTGAAATATTGTTTCATTCAAGAAATCTTTTTATCGTCTTGATTTTTGGTTGTACCAGCGTTGAAATTATTGTCGATTCATATCTCAAACTTAACTCTATTGGCACATTTCAGTTTTTGTTGACAATAGTCTTCCTCTTACTTTATTTTTGCTCATAGAGGATTGAGTAAATTCGCGCAGTTCCATTAGGTGGGCTGATGATTTTTTTGGTGGCGGTTATATTTTTCTTATGAATGACGTTGTGTTTTCAACGTTGCTATGGATTTCAGTTCATTAATGAATACGCACTTTCTTTTCAGTCGTATGTAGATTAGTTCCACTAACTAAAGTGCTCTTCGAATAGCAGCAGAAATCTAACAAATAGCTTTTAGTTCATCTGACTTTCTGTTCATAAATATCAAAAAATATAGCTCATAGCTTGATGTCACCCGGAAAAATCAATGGGGATCTAATAGAAATATGAATAATTGCTGACTTACAGTTTGTGAAGTAAAGAAGTTGGATTGATATCCATGTTTCATTGCTTATTATAATAAAGTAGTTTTTTTTTAACCCAGGAAGAACTACAAATAGATTCACAATGCCAAAGTTATACTGCAGACAAATACAGTTTGTTGTTAGTAAGTTTGAATAAAAGATTGTTTATCATATGTCTATTTCGTGAAATGTTGTGTAGTTTGAAATTTTTGTTAGAAAATGAGGTCTCTTTTTAGGCTCTTAAATGAAATAAGTCAGTAGATGAATATCATAGCTTGTCATAAATAAATGTGGTCCATATTACATTGCTATGGATTCGATCGTATTTTACTGAGCATAGTCATTCACAATTACAATTATTATTCCAATTAAGTAAAGTGTTGTTCACTAAAATTGTTGCTGATAACTAAAGATTGTTTTATAAAAAAACATATGTCCGAATATTCGAAAAGTAGTCCAAGTCACTTTAACAGGCATTTAATACGGCCCTCGTAAGTTACTAGTATTTGATAATAAATGTCTTTAAAATATTGCTCGCATCTGCTGGGATCATCGAGTAATTATTAATGAGGAGGTGAGATACAGGGTATCAGGGAATGTTGGTAAATCATCGACTGAGATGGTTGAGCCACGTGTCACGTATTCCTGAACACCGATTACCATGACGCGCAATGCTGACTAGTGTCGGCTATGGTTGGAAGAGAGATAGGGACGGCCAAAACAAAACGTGACATCAGTGCTTAAAGTCACTAACTTCTAGTCTTAGCCATGTTAGTAGATACAGATTACTTGGTTGGGGTCCACGTGACTATCGTAACCAATGGTTGGAGACTCTGGGTGACATGGCTCAGAATCTATCACAATCGTGTATACGCTCTCTGTCTTCCTTTAAACTGTGAGATTAAATTTGCTTCATATCGTCCTTTCTTCCTGTACTATATCCTTATACACAATCCTTCTTTTATACATTACTAATATTGAAGTAACTACTTCTATGGATTCGGTGTTCATCTTGTTGTGCTAATGAGGTGTGGCTACATGGACCGATGCACATATGTGCCTAGTCCTACGTTGTAGCTGATTGACCTGGAAGTATGTGCTAAAACTTCGAATAAACACTTAATATTATTGAAATCCACCGCTGTGTAGACTACACTTCCATCATTTTAAAACTATTGTGTAATCCAAATAAACCTCTGGGATTTCGGAATTGTGGTTATTTTTTATGATTAAGAGTTTGTGATGAAGAACATCAATTAGCGCAATGTTTCAACTAGGATTAAAATTATACTGAGAAAATTAGTAAAAGTTCAAACTTTTTGCATCATATTCTCGTTTGTACTAAGCGAACCCCCAAACTTCTCTATAATAAACTAAGATTCTACATACTTATATCTTTTCCATTTTTTGTGACTTACATTATATGATACAATATCGGTAATTCATTATATTCATAAAGAAGACTGATATGTTGGACATAAATTTTTTAATACAACCGAATATCTATACAAGCACCGCCCAAAACGAAAATGCAACACTGTAAAAAAATATGAGGGAAATCAAACAGTAAACAAGTATAAAGGTGGAATAATATTTATTGAATAGTACGACTAAGGAGAACTGTTTTACATTTTGTGAAAAAGAAACTTATTTTAGCACGATGTCCGGTATCTCAAATTCCGAACCATGCCTACCAACATCTCAAGTCAATAAGCATCATGAAATTTAGGACATCATTCAACGACATGTTATGAACCAACACATGGAAACTTGGAACGATTATCCCAGTTTCTACAGCTCTACTTTATGAACTAAGACTTTATCAGCACATTGATCGTGCATCGTTAACTAATATAGAGTCAGAAAACACTTGGCCGATATGCACGCAACTCAATGGATTTTCAGACACAATTTTTTCAAAATACTAATGATCACAAATTTCTGGATTTGTGTTCAAAGATTGACGATGCTAACTAGCTGTTCGTACTGCTAAAGGATCAGAAGAGTTCAGATTCGTGATGAATTCTTAGAAGTCAGTTACATAAAATACCTAGCCAACCTTCTCACATAATACATATAATGGTACGAACTGTATTTGCACTGCCTAGAGTCCTTCTAGGGTTACTGCCGGTCCCAAACCCAGGCACAGAGGAGAATTGGACGTAGAATTAGAAATCCTACCTTTTAAAAACAGAGCCCTACCACAAAAACACTAACCAGGAAAAGTCGTTTATACCGTTTGAACTCTTTTCTGAGATCTGAAGGGTCTTCATATGGGAGAGTTATGATGCTTTATGGTGAAAGCTGTGGTTCTTCGGAGGCTATGAATCCGAAGCTTCTTATGACAACAATTATTATGGGTACGTGAAATGCTCAGACAAAGTGGGAGACCGACAGGGTCCTCCAAATAGCGTTGAGAATGCGAAGGTATACCCTGTCAGTGCTTGCAATAAGTGAAATTCACTGGGCATAAATTGGATAGAAAACATCAATTTCAGCAAAGATGTTACATTTTAATTATAAAGAAGGAAATGACCACCACACATAAATTGTTGTTGCTGTGCAAAGAAGTACGTATAGAAGCGCATGTATAATAGGAAACTCATGGCTCAAGGATTACCAAAGCATCCTTCAAAACAAATTGTTATGCGACCACCAATGACGGTAGTAAATATGATAAAGACCAGTTTCACAAGACCCTAAAGTTCATCATACAGAAATACCCAGAAGAACACCTGACCATCCTGATGAAGGGCCTCAACGTCGGGATCTGGTTGGGTAACACTGGGTACCAACACATCATAGCACGACGTGGACTGAGAAAACAAACTGAGATTGGTGGGAGAATGGTAGATCTATATACTTTCAACAACGTGGTCATAGGTGGCAGCATTTTTCCATATAAAAACACACAGAGCTGCATGGGTTCCCCCACTATGGGAGACCAGATTGATCACACATTTATGGATGAAAAAAATTAGAGAACCCATGACAGATGTAGGAGTAAAGCAAGGAACTGAAAAAGCTTCAGATTACGATCAGGCGGTAGTGACCAGGGTAAAACTAAAACTGAAGAAGCATTGGACAAGCAGCACTATAATAAGACCAGATAAAGATTTAAGTGTTGTAACAATGAATCAAAAAGATGTGCATAAAGTATTCACAATGATAAATCAAGATCCCAAGTTGGTAAATCTAAAAAAATGTCATTGCAATAATCGAAAACAAGGTCAATAAAAATGTTTGGGAACTCATTGATAACTCAACTTACAACAGTCTAAAGGGTAGAGAGTGATGATTTTGAATTATGTATGGTCTTTTGGCAGTACAAAAATCCAATATCCATTAAGACTCACGATGTGTTTAATATACTCATCGTATTACAAATTTGCTCGATGGTTAGCCCAAGTACGAGAACGAATCCGTAGAAGAATGGTGGCCCAAAGTTTAAACGACTCATTTCAGTTTTCTGAAGAAATGGATCATTTAAATATATCAAATTGGTTCATAGTGTCTTTTGATGTTTGCTGACTATTTGAAACCATGCCGTTAGAGGAAATTATTAATACAATTTTTAATCATGCCCTAGTGTGAGCACGCGTTTCTGAGTTTTACTGGATATAGGAAGGTCACAGCATGAAAACCTCTTAGATATTAATTCAAAGACGGAAAGATGGGGAAAACATTCAGGGAAGAATCAGTTAAGCACATGGTCGGTCGTACAGAAAGTTTATCCTGAAGGAGCTGAGAATGATACCTAAGCAGCTGTAAATACACCAGTGACATCTACCAATAACTTGGATCAGAAATTAGGATTTCGATGGTATCCACTAAGTTAATCAGAACTCAAAAACTCATCCTGTCACACTAGGTAAACGATAGCGACGACAAATCAAACTAACAAAAGTTCAGTAGTGAACAGTGGTTAACGAAAGCAGAAAAGACGGGAAAAGCAGCGGCGATGGGTAATAGTAGACAACTCTTCGGACTTATCAAGAAAACAGGTATTAAAAATCCGACTGTTATTGAAACTATCTCGGAAAAAAATGGAACTATTATTCACTCCCAATCCATGAGATTGAACTAATAGGCAGAACACCCTGCGAAACAGTCCAACTGACCTTCAGCCACAATTCAGTTACCCAATATCTCCAATCAACCCGAATGGCAAACTGAAACACATCTCTCAACTGTTAGTGAGGTTTAGGTTATGGGGAATCTTAAGAAATGGAGAGTACCAGGTCCAGATGAATTTATCCCTGAAACTTTTAGGGATAGTGGTCCAGTTTTAGCAGTTAGACTGACTGAGATCTTAGCTAGAATCTGGGAGCTGGATGTAGTCCCATCTGACTGGTTTCGGTTGCTGGTCGTATCAGTCTATAAGAGAGGACAAATATCTTCTCGTAACAACCACAGAGGAGTCAGTCTGACCAATATAGTATATAAAATATCCCCTTTGATAATGCTCCGACGCTTAACTAGGGTTCGTGAAAAGTGAACCCGAGAAAACCAGTCTGGTTTTATACCTGGACGCGGATGTATAAACACTTAGAGACAACGCTCTTATCGTCTGATGTTTCGGAGGTCGGTCTTCCACCAGGAGATTCACCTGTGGACCTGAAATACGCAGATGGTGCAGTTTGGTTTAGTGAAGATGCTTAAACAACGCAGTCTTCTGACCACCCATAGTTTGGATGAGTTTTTCTCCTTCCAAATGCAAAATATTGCTTTTGCACTGGTTTGGGCCAATGCCCAAACTAATGATAAGGGGTGAAGAAGTTGAGCGTATCGACCGCTTCATTTATCCTGGAAGTCCCATCAGTCCTGATCGGCTGATGTCTGGCGAAATCTCGACACAGATTCAGAAAGCTCGATTGGCTTTGGTCAACTTGCGTCACTTGTAGCATAGGCGAGGTATCCGTCTTCTAGCCAAAGTTTTCGGAGTAGCAGTTCATTCCGTTCTCATTTGTGGATGTAAAACATTGACATTAAGAAGAGGATATTCGTGGATTACTAGTATTCGGCCATAGGTGTCTTCGAAGCATTGCTAGTGTATCTTGGGACTACTAAGTGGCCAATGCCTGGGTTAGGGCCCTAGGTAATAGTGGTGAATCGGTTGGGACATGTACTAAGTATGTCTGGTTACCTCAACGGGTAATGTTGTGTGATGTAAGAGTAGGTTGGAAGAAAGTTAGGGGCAGAACCAGTCCATGAAATTATTGACAATTGGCTTTGACCCATGTAGGTGGGTGTAGACTGTCTAGTTAGGTTCTGTGTGATTATCGTAACCAATAGTTACAGACTTTTTATCACATGGCTCAAAATCGTTTGCAGTAGCGTAGGTGCATCCACTTTTTGTTTTCACTTGGGTTCTACGTTTCTGAATGTCATAATCTTTTTTATGTCACTAGTTTATAGTCTTTCATCTTCCTTTAAATCATAAATTTCTAGATTTCTCATAATCTTACTTCACTAATTTACATCTCGAATTGTATCTGCGATGATTGATCTTTCCTATTATCTTTAACACTGTTAATACTCTGGGGTTCGTCCTAACAATTTCCTCTTGCCTTGCTGGTGGAGTGTGTAACGTTAGACAATGTACACACATACCAGGTTCTACATTGCGTTTGGCTGTTATGTTAAATTTTAGATCAACCTTTCACCGGGATTTCGTACTAATTACCGATCAATATTTTGTATTTTACATGGCAGGCAAATATACAACAAGTTTTGAATAATAGAATGAGATGTGATTCTGCAGCTTCTGCACCTCATCCAAATAGCGATAATATTACAAAAAACTTTTTCAATCAAGAATTGCGTACATCGAATTCGATTCCTATTGTTTTTAATGAAAAAGACGATTGTATCAACTATCGTGTAGATAGTAATAAAAATCCTGGAAACTTCAATCGGTTGCAGTCTGATCCAAACAAGAAAGGTGATAATCCCTCGTCATCGGCTACCATGGTCAATGGTACTGAATTAACTGATAGTAATTGTAAAAGGTAAGTTATTTTTCGAAGTATTTCTTCGCATATGAAGAAAATCAATCCAGTATCATAACTACTACGTAAACTGAAATTAGACAATGGTAGCGACAAACCACTCGTGGCATTTCTCTGATTTGGCACAGTTATCTGAGTAAGAAGCTATAAGAATCAGATAATAGTAGACGTTATTTGACAAAAAAAAAGTTAGATCTATTATTAAATGCATTAGACCTTCACGTTTTTCCAAGTAATGACCAGCTTCTTATTTATATATGAGTCATGTATCGTGCCAGAATGCTCATCTAATTTCCCCATCAAAGTAATCAGTAAAATGTTTGTTTTCATTGTTATTGCTTCTTTACAACTAAAGATCCGAAGATAAAAAAGGTAAAGGAAATATGTTTCTCACTGAAAACGATACGCGGGAAAATTGATATAGATAATTCAGAAAAGAAGAGATACTGATATTACGTGTGAAAGTTGACAATCTCTCTCAATAGTATGTAGTTAAAAAGGAAGATTCTAGTTTTTACAAGGGTTGTGCAACAATTCGAACCGAGTAAGTAAGCGACTCACGAAAGAAGAGATTCAAAGAAAGTTATGTGAATACGGATGCAATTTTTACTGGAAGTTTATCAGATGGTTGGTATTGCTGAGTCGTCCATTTATCAAACAGCAAAGGAGTTACTAAACTTTATTTCGTTCCTCAGTTTTTACCTTATACCATAAGTTATTGCACTATTGGTCCTGTTCCGTATTAAAAACTCAATGGAACACATGTGGAAATGGCTGTCAGTCAGTACAGTGGACCAGATGTAAATGCACACCAGTCGTTTGCTAACCTTTGTGAAATATGTTCCTAACCATTCTTTTTGATACCATACTTTCATTATCTTTTTTTAGAGCTGACACTGGTACATACGTTGATCCCAGTCATTCAACGAACCAGCTTAATGTGAACCAGGAATTAGCTGTTCCAGAATCTATTCAAGATATACATTTAGTGAAAGTGAAGAAGAGAAACGAAAACTTTCTTAATAGTGGATGTGTAGGCGACACCGATCAAAGTATTTACTTATCTTCTTTAGTAAATAAATATTTGGGTAACAAAGCTGTTGATAGCGGAACAGTGGATACAGATAGTTCTACAGTAGTCGACTACAGCTTAGCGACACTGGATTATATGAAGCGACATGGTATAATTGAATGTTGTGGAGATAATAAATGTAAACAAAGTACTGCGCCAGTAGCAAGTAGTACTCCGACCGCTAACCACGAAAAAGCATTACATAACTATACTTGTTTTAACGACCGAAGGGATGATTCTGTGTGTACTCCATTGAGTGACCCGTCATCTTTCACTCCGTTTGTGTCTAAAGATCCAAAATCACCTGACCTTACAACTGGAGAGTCGCTCCCAAATATAATGAATGAGTTGGGTCTAGATAAATTACAAATGACACAACATGCTGAAATATGCAACCGTGACACTAAGTATCTGTCTACCTTGTCTGGTTGTTCATCAGAAAAAGATACTTCAATACAACCAACTTTAACAGTATCTGAATACTCACACATTTTTGATTATGAGCCCAACGTTATAAACGGTCCAATTCTCGACTTGGAACGATTACGATCGCTTCCCAAACTCCTGTGACCCTCGTTGTGTACGAAGTGTACTTTGAAATAAATTTAAAACTTAAGATGCTTGTGATGGGTGTTACAAAATGATGTATTTTGTATTTTAATTTATCATTTTTATAAATAATATTTTACAAATAATATCTTAGATGGTGGTGCGTGTTTCCATAATAATGATTATGAATTCAATACATATCTTCATCATCATTGTTTCCTGTTTGTTTTTTGCCATGCTGATTCTTTATCTGCTCTTGATTTTGATAAAGTTCATAAACCTGAAGGTAATTAAATGAAATGTGAAGGATAAGGAATACAAATGTATTTCATCTCAATCTAAATGCAAAGTGTAAATGTGGGGAAATGTAGGTGTTTATTCAGGGACTTGCTCGAAGCATTTTAAATAATACAAGGTAACTATATAGTTTTTGTTCGCACAAAAACACATAGTAAACGTATTGTCTATTGTAAAAGTCGGAGCTGATTTTGTTATTTCTTTGAAGGAATTAAGTAAAATCGTTGTAATACTTTCATAAATTAGAAATTTCGAACCAGTATCTTAGTTTACAGTTTGACTGTGTATCTGTATTGCTATTACTTTGAGATTATATTGTTTGCTCTGCAATATGGTCTTAATTCGTAACTTACACGAAATTCGGTCAGTGGGTAGCACGTTTTACGTAGGAGAACAAAGTCGTAATTGGACTGGGTTTTTTTGGATGGTAACAAGTTTACCATCGTTACAACCTTCCCACATCCTTAGGAGGCTATAAAACTAGAGTATCACACATTTTTGTGATAGTGGTAAGGTTTAGGAAGTATGAAAAATGCAAATATTAATTAAAAATTTCGGAGCTACTTGCTGCGACTAGTTGTCTCAATAGATTTACTGGAATATCAAGTCCATAGCGCTACCGACAGTTGTCCGATTTCTTTTTGAATTGAAAGAAAAATTTAAGCATCAGTAGTCTGATTTTATATTTGTATTGTTCACCAACAACAAAGCTTGTCCATGTTATATTCGTTTCCGGCGTGTAGACATGGCACATGAATGTTTGATAGGCCGAAAACCGAATGCTTTTCATTTTGTATGTATTCAGTTTTTCGTACACAGAGACCAAATAATTTCTGAATTGACTAACATAGTAAACCTAGACGTTTTTACGCTTTAAGAGAGATTCTGAAGCGACTGAATGTATATTTCCGAATAGGAAAACTGAAGATACATATTTTGATTGCATTGTTGACTCGTCAGGAATGCAATAAAAGTTGGTAAACAGGTTATTATTTGTATGACACTAAAATACTATCACCGTGTCATTCACTTTAAAAATCCAAAAAGAAGACTAGTTAAGAAAATAAAAATTACTTGTTGGGCTGTTGTTGCGTCTTCGGGCTTTTTGTCATCTCGAATCCGAACGAACCTTGGAAATCTCAGTGAAATGCCTTTTTGTGGATCCGCCTGAAGAATGTGTACATCAAACAACTTATTTAGGCTCATCACTTCGAACAGATAGTATATACACTGATTTTATGTAGTTAAAAAAAAAACTCACAAAACCATTTTACAGATACATGGCACGGAATCTATGTTATACCTTGTATTAGGATAACATTGGGAAGAAACATTGGAATAGGCTCTTTTGTTGAAAAACATAGATTATGATCATATATATTCCTTAGACAGTTAAATCTTTAGTAAGATAAATAGTTGATTGTGAAAGTGGACATAACTTTTACAGTTCGTAAAATGTTGTTAAGGAGAATCGGTGATGTTAATGCGAAGTAGATTTTTTAACACTATTTCCTGAAAATACATAAGCTTCCATTTGGTCCTTAGAATATCAAGTTATTATTGTTATTTGCATAAAGACTAAGATCGATTTAACTACACCTAATTCCAAATATGAGTATACACGTTAACAGCCATGTGGATAAACTTTGAATGCTAAGCATGCTACAATACAGCTACTGATTAACTATTAGGATATTCATAAAAATATCCCAAAAATTATGTTGAGTTTAATTTTATCTTAAACGTTAAATGGTATATTTTCAAACTTTTCACATGCCGTTTCCTATTGGTTAATATTCACGGTCGTCCTAACTGTATAAATATGCATTGTCTGTAAAATATATTCATTCTTCTCCTTCTGAACCCATAAACAATTCCCATTTAACGGTTGTGTTCTGATATTTTGGAGATTTGGGAACAGTACCGAGGTCGTACTGGACACCTGGAGTTGGTCGATCGGTAGAATTTTGAGTAGCCACATCGCGGTCCACAACTAAATAAACAATGGTCGTCCGCGTCTTTGTAGAATCTAGTGATATTACGCAACAAGTCCAATGCACTAGGCATAATTCAACCTGCATGTCTTTTTGTTAAATTTCTAAAGTAAGTCAACAAATAAACCGTAACTGCAGACATCATTTTTATCTGCATTCTTAGTGCAAATTTGTTCTTAAATAGCACGTCACCAATCTGTAGAGCTTGTAATACTAGATATTTCGGTTTACAACAGTTTTATGGACTCCCTGTCAAATACACGAACTAAGTAGGGCCGTTAACGATCCTTAATTTAGTTAGTATTTGCTGAAATAATATTGGCTCCTGATATTTGGAGATAACCAAAAACTGATAACAAACACCAAGTGGTTGTTCAATGCTATATAGTTTAAAGATGACTTAATTCGAAAAACAAATTTACTGATAAAGAAGATACTACTGTAAAGCTTATTGGTTCATCACATCACTACTCAACTCGATGGTCTTAAGTATGAAACTGTGACACGTAGTGACTTTTTAACTAGGATAAAGATAGTCTCACAAGTATATCCTTTTTTCATTTAACAATACCTGTGAACTATGGAAAGAACTTACTAAACCAGCAGCGGCTTTGTGTCCAGGTGATATACTCAAATCGGCTGCCTTCACTTCCCAAACTTGAACAGGCTCAAACCATTGATCTGGAATTAAACTTATTGTGTATTGATAATAAGGTTTTGCTTTGTCAGTTGCATGGTTTTTGAAAAACTCCGAAAATGAAGCCAATTCATCATCCTTCATTCCTGTACCAATCTGTGGAAGAAACAATCGAGAGTGAGCCATTTATTAACCATGGAACTCATATCCTGAGAATGGTGCAACTTAGTAGGTTAGAAATCTCCCATACATGACTCAGAACAGAATAATATAATAGATCACCTACTTTGCATATTGTCTGGTATTCTTCTGTATCTGGATCATAGCATGCCAGTAAGTAACCACCGTAACGACCAGCACGTTTACCAGTTCCATAAAATCCACCTATTACCACCAAATCCAATGTATCACCAACACCTTCTAAATAGTCTTTTTTCAATTTTAACCAGCTATGGGATCGTTTTGCGATTTCGTAGGTAGAATTACGATCTAGTGTTTTTATCATTAAACCTTCACAGTTACCTAGATGAATATAAATACGGCAATCAACTTTAATTTATTTGGCACATATTTTAAACAAATGCTTTAAATATGACGATTTTGTTGTAGTTTTTCATCAAATGTGTACTTTATGAGATGTATGTGAATGTGTTGTGATAGATAAAACTGCTGCCACTTATTTATACATATTTATCTTCTAACCGACTGCATCGAGTAAACTGACCCAGTAAAGTTTACGTTACGTGCGATGACTTTTGAACAAAGGTCTAAATTATTCGACTCCATAAACTTGGACATATAAAAGGAGAAATAAACCGATACAATGCCGAAACAAATGAGCCATAACTTTACAAGTTCAAATAAAACAACCGAAAGATAATATTTTGAGTCGTTCTCTATGAGATAACTACTGGAGGTGATGACGAATCAAAGGTGCTTCGGATATTATACTGACAGATATAATTACGTATTGACTAGTTGGTATAAAAGTTGAAAGGTAATTATGTCGAGTGGTTTCACGTAAGAACCAGGGAGGTTACCGAATTGTTAGCTAATAAATTCCAGGTAAATGTGAACAGCTTGAAAATAATAAGTTATTAATTATATATTTATATAGAATATCCTATGAAGATTTTTGTGATTTCTAGTTTAGAAATTGTTAGATTTGTTAAACAGAGAAAATGATTTACCTTTGATTGCTTCGTCAAGAAAAGTCGCGATCTCATCTGTATCAGATGAATCAAGAGAGGTTGCCATCATGAACTCTCCAGAAATGCGCGGAAATACTTCTCTAAATTAAAAAAAAGATAGTTGTAGAAAATACTCAACATGCTAATATAGCTTTACTGAATCTACCATTTATTGTACTTTTCCCAAGTAAATAATGCAAAACATAAGTCTTTATTTCAACATTTCGTCTTCACAGCAGAAAAGAACATTAAATCAATGGAATTATTACTTTTTGAAAAGGTGTTATTAATTATCAATATTGTAGTGAAGGAACATTTAGGTAGGAAAGGCCAATCTTTTGTATGATGCAAAATTACAAAGTGCTTTCGTAAAATATGAAAACCATACATCAATTACATAATTTGTAAATCTTCAATCAGTTATCCTTTGTGTGCTTCATGATTCTTTCAACTCCGTTGTTCTTACAATTGCTTTCTGTTTCCCTTTCTGTTCAATTCAATCTTCTGCTGGTATGCATTGCACTTCCAGTTGGTACTAAATACTACTTTTATCTGTCAACATAAATAGCGTACACCAAAATATGGCGAGTAATAACTCAATCAATTGGAATGAAATTGATTTTTTTCCAATCGTATGTGAAATGTATTCATCACATCTCAAAAAGGATTACAGATGCTTAATTGCATGATATGATATATATATATATATATGTGTTCATACAGTAAGTTGAATACAACTCAGTTTAATTTATACAAAGCTGTCTGTTAATCTTACTATAAATAAATCATCTAAAAAGTGGTGCATTCATAAATCCTTTCGATTTATTTTGAGAGTTTGATAAATCCTTATCACTAATCTTTGGCTTTAAAATTAGCACTTTTTCTCTTGTGTTTAAGTTGCCGTATAGATTCAGCCCCAGGCAATTAGAAGCGGCTAGGAAATGGAATCGACAGTTCAGGAAGAAGACTTATCAGTTATCATGTTATATTAGGCAAAACTCAATTTGTGTACACTAGGAAAAACCATTAGGTTATTTTTTAGTGGCACTTTACTGTGCGACAACAGTCAAGTATAGAACATTATATATTATGAATGATATAGTATTAGAATGAAAATCATTAGCCAATGACTAATCTAGACCCACGGATTTATAATAAACCTCTATAATGTTCCAGCTACTTAATGGCGCTTACGCTAAATGTATTTTGTTCAAAAGATAAATTGTTTTAGCTTTTTAAAAGAAAACCAAAATCAAGGACAGGCCAAAATTACCGCTTTATGTGTGTCTGAATTTAAGCTGATTAAATCTAGATCAAAATAACGGTGTATGAAAAGCGATGCGATAATAAAAAGGAATTGACAACCTCAAGATTAAATATTTGTGCATTGTAGACGATAAAATAAGTGCGGACTTACCTAAGTATCTCTCGACGTATGCGTAACGGTTGTTCAATTAAAGATATACCATTTATAAACAGTATATCAAATACATAGATGCATATTTGTACTTTCAGTGTAGATTCATCGACATCCTATAAAAATAAGGTAAATACGAAAATATTATGTTTAAAATCGTTAATTTCTTGTTGGCAACATGAAATTATTAATATTCAGTTAAATTAAAACAACACAGAGGCTTTATCCTATTTCTAACACCGAGTGACTATAAAAATTATAATCAATATGAAAATATAGGTAGCATCGGATCAGTCCTTAAAAAAGCCTATAAACGGATAGACTAGCCAATTGAAATCTAAACATTAACATCTTGAAATCGTGCATACAATAAACATAGGGACTCTTGATTGTGGTTTTATAATCCACCCATCTTGTAATCTGATTACGCCTCTATTATCAAAGACATTGGAAGTTAGTTTTATAACTTGATAGTATCTCAAACGTTTACATATCCGAAATCAGACGCAAAGAATATATTCTTAACTGTATATGGACGTTTCATTCGAATGAGTTTCGTATCACTGCGGAACTATCCATACTACCGAAAATATTTATTCTTTGGTACACATGGTGTATTTCTAAAGCCAACTACTTCATTGAAGCAATTAATTTGAGCCAGGACTGGAATTTCTGTGGCTCGCGATAGATTATTGTCTGGAAACCGCGCACCTAGTGTAGATGAGTTTATTAAGATAAATCTTGGCCGATAATAACTTACGTGCTTTTTCGACAGAGACAAAAAGGTGAAATCGTGAATAACTACCTACATAAGTCTTCCCCGAGATTACCCTACTCCTAAAAAGACACAAAAGTTATCGAATTTCTTCAGGGAACAAAGAACCATAACATAGTAGTTATTTACTTGAATGATAACATACAAAAGTCTATATATACAGTGACACACGTATAGCGAATATGAAAATCATATTCCGAAGAACACATTCATTTGCAATATAATTACGTTCCTGTGCAACCGTGTTCTGATTTGGGGACTTGTCGAGTGAAGTGGTATCTAGGAATACTAAGCAATTAGAGTAGCCGGGCCGTAAGAAGAGAAATTGTAACGAAGATGATCTTTTATTTAGACTGACAAGATTTCATGAAGATATACTGAGTTAGGTATTCGGCTACTCATAAAAGAGTGAGCATACACATTAATTTTTCATACTTATACGGTGGAAATAATAAACTGATGAAAAGTAATTAAAAATATTTACTGAGTTTTGCTTACTTTACGCTTTCGCGTTGATAGGACTTGGAATGGTAAAATATGTCCAGCTAAACGATCCCAAGCTACAACTTCCGAGTCAATGATACAACTCTCCAGTTTGTTTCCAACTATACTATTTGATTGAACTTGTATTTTATTATCTTTAACAATTTCACTGAGTAGCTCAATTGCATGAGGCGTTAGTTTAGACTCTGGCAGAACCCTAGACATCAGATTATTTACGATATCAGGATATTTTGTGGTATTATCTTCTTGATTACGTGAATACACGTGACTTGCACCTGAAGGGAGAATATGAATCTGAAATAAATTTTTAAAAGTCGGAATTTTAGATTGACGATAAACATGAACTGTTAGAATTAGAGAAGATTCTAGAAATATTCTCCGAGAATTAAGTGCATATATATATATATATATATATATATATATATATATATATATATATATATATATATAATGAGTATTTGTCATGCGATCGGGTTAATATTATCTTTAGACTGTTTTGATTATAACATTCTTTGATTCATCAGCTGCTGTTATATATTTTGCCGTCCATAAATTACAGAGAACTAATCATAAACCTGTTACTCAGTTTTGTACCATAAATGTCTTAGCTATGCATACATTATGATTTATTATTCATGATGTCCTATGGTCTTATATTTCATCTATATAACTACACAAGTTTTATAGTCGTGAGAATATCTTATAAACAATCACTTTTTAGCATATGTATTAACTGCGTTTATTAAGCTCACAGTTATTGGACAGTAGCAGAAGAAAATCATAACTACACTACTGTTTTGATAAATCTTTTACATAAAAAGACCTGGTTTGGAAGAGGAAGACATAAAGTCCAGTAGATATTCATGTAAGTTGTGGATACTGGACAACAATCAATCACTGATGCTTGCCTTATTCAAAACCCTGTCAAAGTTCCGGTTATTTGCACTGTATCTCTCGATCCGACAAGCCTATTTCACGTGTGATTTTTCGAAGACTGTGACATCATCTGGTTCGGCTGGCAGAGATTATGCACTAAGCATCAGAGCAGAGGCAGAAGTAATCGATTGGATCCTTATCAAATGTTGTTTATGTGCTGTTAGCTACCAGTCCACAAAAACGTACATGAGCGTTGATTGTGTCTGCGTAAAGCCGTCAAAATGGCAGGTCATGTAGCCAGTGGCTTCGCTAAACGTCCAGTTTATAAGCACTGGGTATCTGAAAGCTCTTTACAACCACTTCACGCACGCTAATTTAGTTCGATGAACCGCGAGTATGAAGTTACATATGAATTCCTGTGTGAAAGAATTTCGGGTGACGACTGAGAAACCTGATGGTCAGACAGTGATATTAAGTTGGAAACAGCAGCTGTTGGAAGCTAATTCAACTCAATTGAAACACTGGTATCGAGAAGTCTGGTGTAAATGAAACAGTCTGTCAAGCTGATGGAATGGCAAGTAATAATTTTTAAATATGTTCTGGACGATAAACAGTTTCACAAGGAACAGTACAGCTCATCACCCTAAAAATTTCGATTGGTGGTGAGCGCAAATCTACCTATTAACATGGAGGTCCGCAAGGAAATCCGACTACTATAGCGCCGCAAGCCACCAGACTCAGGTGACTTGACCAGGCATAGTGAAGAAAGCGCAATTAGCTTTATCATATTGAAACAATGGTTTTAGTGTTTTGAATATTTTACTAATACCACCCTAGTAACTTCTATTTAGTGAATTATTTTCCGGTTCCGAGTCGAAAAAGCGGAAAGGTGGTCAGTTTGTGACACGAGGCAGGAACCTATTCACAAGTGGCATTGGTTGGTTCATCACAATCCCTCGAATGGAGAGTCCTAAAGATCGCTAAACTTAGTGTCATGAAACGTGATCACACATGGTTTACAATAGAAGTTAGTGACGACCCTGATGTAGTTCCCTTTCACATAATTCATAAAAGTCAGGGAAAATCGCTCGATATTTTCTGGAGGAAATAAATGGGGACGGAGCATTACTAACTAAAACAATCAGTGTTTTGATAATGAAACTGTGTACACAGTGTAAATATAGTGCACAGCATAAATTCGTTTCAAAATTGCCCCTTCATCTGTGGAACTGCAAGCAATATGAACACGAATTGAACTATATTTTCATCTCAGTGTAACAACCATGAAATCGACTGACTTAAACACGTAGTAATACATATCTGCTAATGTGGACTGCACAGATAGTGTATTCTGTAATGTCAATAAATTATTATGTAAAACTAATTTTGTTATTTTACACCAGTATACCGACACCTCTTTAACCAATACTTTCCAACGTGAGTAATGGCACAAATAGGTAAGTTAACTTTTGTAAGGGGAAAAACTTATTTTTATTTCACAGTATCAACATACTTGAGCCCTTTCACCATCATATTTATATTCACAAGTGAAATCACATTCTTCAAACCTCTTTAAAATTTCATATATTCCATGTGTAGGAGAAGCTAACATTGGTTTTAGAGGAATACCTGGAGTGATTGTGCAAATTTGATCCAGGGACTCATGGCTTTTTGTTAAAAGAGCTTTTATAAGACGGCTGTAGTCTGGACAAACGCTAGATGAGATGAGAAATAAGCGAAATGAAGGAAATCATATAGTTAGTAATATTTCTGAATCCGACTGAGGGAATTTGAACAGAAACGTCTATTGGAACCTAGATTCATTCAACCTAAAGAGAATGAAGCTTTTATGGTTAATAATGCTCCTGGCTAGTATCAAGAAATCTCAAGTTTCATTCGAATTTTGATGTTGACATTCACTAGTCAGTTGATGGTAGTTAAGTTAATTCCCGTTCACGTCTTGTTGATTTTTAAAGAAAATACACAAAAATACGTATGGATAGATAATTCATCATATTGATAATGTTTATTTCATGGATTTTGAACATATATAGAAACAAATTCCAAATCATGTATTCATAACTGCATAGGGAGGTTGGAAATGATGGCAAATCGGTTGACGAGGTAGTGGGTCTTCATCAGCTGGGGTAGCTAGAACAATGTTATTTACACCCAATCACCCCATACCTCGACGAGCGATGTTTACTAGTGTAGAAATAAATGAGAAGCTAGGGGTGGTCAAACCAAGGTGTGTTACTAGTTCATGAAGTCATTAAAAATTGGACTGAGTCATTTCGGTAGAAACAGACCACCCGGTTGAGGGCCACTCGATAACTGCGATCAGTCATTTGAGACTGGATGACATGGCTTAGAATTGTTCACGATCGCCTAGATATACTTATCCTTTAGTTTCTCAATCTTGAATCCCAGTACCCCTTCAAATATACCTTACCACTTTGTCTTTTCAAATCATAATCACAAGGCTTAGTCTTTCCTTTTATCATTGCTACTACATTATGTCGATTACTTTTGTCATTTAAGTCTTATCGCGCTGATCAGGTATGGTAATCTGTGACAATACACATCAGATCAAGGTTCTGTGTTAATAATGTCTCTGTCGATCACAACTACATAACATTTGTCATAACACTCTGTGTCAACACAATATAAAGAAATTTACATTAAAGATAAGGTTCAAACCCTACTACAATGAGTCACAGATAACCGGAGTTTATTTAAGAAGTGAGATAATCAACCGGTACCTGGTTGTAAAATCAGGATGTCAAATAAAGTGAAAGATACTTAATAAATAACTTACCAATACGCCCTTTTAACATTCGCAACCGCAATATCCATTGTAACTTTCCACTGCTCACCAGACATACCATTAGAAGCATTAATTATTCGCGTGCTTTTATCACTAACTTTAAAATGGAATGGCGTCATAGCTACAGCCTGACCAAGAGCTGTAAGCACAGTTTGTTCAGCTAAGCCAATACGCAATTTTCCTGATAAACTGCGTATAATATATTTCGTTTCAGATTCTCGACAGGCCACTAGAAGCGAGCGAATGATTTCCATTTTTTTGTTTTGAGCCTAATAAGCGAATAGGAAAGTTGACGAAGTTGATTTGACTATCAGAATGAAAACAGTTTATCTTTCCACAACGCTTTAATAAAACCAAACAACTGACGCAGAAAAGCATGAAAAAAATTAGATGCATAAAGATTCAAGTAGTTTCTATTATATACGTCATATGAAAAGTTGAATCTTGTGGTAAGTTAGGGTTTTATAACTGGTCACTACAAATCAACCGAAGTTTTATGCAAACACCTAGTTAAAATTACGGTAGAAAATCTCAAGCAAATAAGTGATAAGTGAATCCTTAGTAATATTCAGACTTAAACACAGGTACAAGTAGGTTTAAATTCTCCTGATGACAAACGCGTCAATTGTAGCGTTTAATTTGCCTGATGAATTACTCTGAAGGAAAACTGTGAGTAAAAAAGTACAAAGCGGCTATTTCTATTTCTGAAATATTAGCTCAGAGTTAATAGTACAAAACTGCCCTGGTACGACCGAGAGTGTGGAGAGTCTGCTCTCTCTCTCTCTCAAAACGTTTTCACATGACCACATGCATACAACCATAGCCACCTGACGAACTCCCTCTGGATCTCAAGCCTGGACTCAGATTGATAACATGATTGTGTACAAGACTCCCACGCATTTTGGAGTAGCTGTCTGGACTCTGATCATGTCCTGGTCTGTGCCAATCTTCCCTTACTTTTCAGTGGTCAACAAATTGATCGTCATCAACGGGTTGTTGTCAACAATTTAGTTGCAATTTTTGTTGCAAGCAAGTATCGAACCGAGCTAGTTTTTAGGCTGGCTAGCATCCCGCCGTAAAGTATGGATGAGCATTGGTTGTAACTGCATGACGCAATGAAAATGGCGAGTAAAGCCGCTTGCGGCTTCGCCAAATGTCCCGCTTATAAGCACTGGGTTTTCTCAGGCTCCTTACAACTCATCGAAGCCCGTCCGACTACTCCGGGTGACCGTGAGTTTGACCACGAACGAAGGCTGTTACGCAACGAAATTGGGCAAAGCTTGCTTAAAGACCGAGAAGCCTGGCGGTCTGATCATGCTAATGAGTTGGAAGCAGCAGCTGCATCTGGTAACTGCCGGAAGCTCTTCCAACTCATCCGAGACACTGGCAACAAGAAGTCTGGTGTGAGTGAAACATTCTGTAAGGATGACGGGATGCCAATCACTAACATATATCGACGTCTTGGACGATAGGCAGAATTCTTTGAAGGGCAGTTCAACTGGCCTGCTGCTCCTACGACATCGATCAAACTGTCCTACACTCCATGGCCGGTGACGACTGGTTCACCAAATGAAGCGGAAATCCGCAAAGAACTCCAACTCTTGAAACCCTACAAACCACCGGGGCCATATGACTTACCACCAGCCCTTTTTAAAGATGGTAGTGACTTTTTGATTAAGGAATTGACTGAGTGGTCTACAAAGGTCCGACAATTAAAGAGTGTTCCAACATCATTGAATGAGTCAATAGTTGTCCCTATCTTTAAAAAGAATTCATTTCATGTCTGTAACAACTATCGGGGGATAAGTCTACTCCAATTGCGTTCGAACTATTGGCTTCTGTCATACTACGTAGATTGTTGAAAACCTGAGAAAGATTGACTCGCGAAGAACTGGGTGGTTTTCGTTCTGGTCGAGGATGCATTGATCATATCTTCACCCTTCACCAAATGTTAGAACACCGTAATACTTATCACAGGCCAACAATCGTATTGTTTCTTGACATCAGGGCTACCTTCGATTCGTCGGACAGGACTGTTCTCTGAGATTGTCTATTGAAGAAGGGTGTTCCTGAAGTTTATCAACATCTTAAAGGCCCTATATACAAACACCTCTCCATTGTTCCATTTAAGCAGTAGGGTTAGACAGGGTTGTCTAATCTCACCATTCCTCCTCAACTTTTCTATCGATGATGTTCTGGGAACAGCTCCGATGAATGTAGATAATTGTGGTATGGGTATGTTGCCTGGAGAAAGACTTCTCGACCTTGAGTATGCGGATTATATTGTCTTACTGTGCAGTAATACTCAAGCCATGCAATCCACACTTAATCAGTTGGCGATCAGTGTCCGTAGGTACGGTATATACTTGACACCTCCGAAGTACAAAGTAATTTTACAAGACTGGCAGGACTTTGACCCTGCACTCACTCTGGCTAGTGAGCAGATAGAAGTAGTCAAGAAGTTCGTGTATCTAGGTAGCTGTACAAGTGCTGGTCGTGGCGAGAATGATGAGATCGATTCACGTAAAATGAAAGTCAGATCGGCTAATGCCGATCTGGGCCATCTTTGGTGCCTTTGTGATCTCAGTCTGGCTGTAAAAGGTCGGATCTACAACACGTCGGTGAGAGCAGTTTTGCTCTATGCTTGTGGAACATCGCCTCTCCGAGCTGAGGATGTTAAACAACTCTCTGTTTTTGATCATCGTTGTCTCCGAAGGATTGCTGACATCCAGTGGCAACACCATGTTAGTAATGCAGAGGTTCGGCATCGTGTGTTAGGGCTCAGAGACGATAATCCAATTGGTGTCACCAAATTGAAACATCGACTTCGGTGGCTTGGACATGTCTTACGAGTGCCATCCCAGAGAACTCCACGTCGTGCACTATTTGTCGACTCTGGGACTGGTTGGAAAAAGCGGAGATGTGTTCAGTGTATGACATGGTGTCGTGGTACCAAAGAAGGCTGTTCAGGACTAGTTTCTGTTGATCCTTCACAACTCCCTCGTCGGGGTCCTAGAGATGGTGCAACACAATGTCTGGAGACGTTATCAGATATGACTCAGAGTAGAAGCCAGTGGCGATCGTGCTGTAAATTTCTTTTGCTTTCTTCATAAAAAACGGTTGTAACTTCTTTAACTGGAAGAATTCTTTCTGGTTGTATATTTGCTAACTGAACTGCCCCTCCCATTATTATTATTATTTCAGTTTCATACACTGATTCCCAAATAAATAAATAAATAGCGTAGGAAAAGTACCGATAAGGACTCCGAGTGGAATATAGTCTGCTCGTACTTGTTAACGCGTCATTGGTTTTGGACAGGGCCAAGGTCATATAAGTCGGTGGCGATCCTGCTGTAAATTTCTTTTACTTTCTTCAAAAAAAGTGGTTGCAACTTTAACTGGAAGAAATTTTTCTGATTGTATATTTGCTAACTGAACTGCCCCTCCCATTATTATTATTATTTCACTATCATACACTAATTTCTGATCGTCGTTGTTTTCCTTTTTCTTATACGCACCTTATATTCTTTATCTCTTCACATTCTAGTCGTTATTATATGGCGCATATATATCTGGTGTCCCTTTGTACCAATATTTATGTGTTCAAATAAATCAATAAATAGTACAGTTACTAAAATTAAACGTGCAAATTCACTGAGCATAAAATAGAAACAATTACGAATAAAACCTAATCCGATATATCAATATTTCATCGACTGGTAATCAACAAGTAAAGCTAGATAATGTCACAAACCAAAGTTATGGTAATAGGCATTATGCAGTACCTTTATTTGCTCAATTGTGTATTTATGGACACAACTAATATAAGAGATTCTGTGATTCACTTATTATACTGATACAAACAAAAAGATGACACAGATATGGGGTCCTCATATGACTCCATTCTGTAAGCAAAGAGAAATCTAAAAGCAACTATATTGTAAATACCCATTCAAAGAAACTGCCAGACCTTTTCCTGATTGGGATCCATCTATAGGATTTAGGATTGCAATGGAACTGGACTCAAAACTCCCAATTACTTATGAGCCGAAAAGATGGAATTTATATGGAGTTCATACATAGGAAGCTAACATAGAGTAAAAAACTGACAAACTTCTCAGCCATGATGAAATTAATTTACCAAACTATCTGGAATACGAAGAAATCTCTCAAAAACAAACTGATACTTATTAGGTTTAATTGGGAGAAAAAAGCAGTCTACAAATAGAAAACTTGAGAAGACTTCTTGTTGATAATATTTCAGAAACTTTTCAGAGATAAATTTTAAAGAGTGATGAAGGAAAAATTGCTGCATTGCAGACTTAATGAGGAAATCTTAGTCTACCTGTTCCCATGGACAGTGGGATAATATAAACAAAATGACCATAAATGAACTTTTGTTTCGCTAGATATGGTCAGTGAAAGTTGAACTTCTGTTCAGATTAAAGCATGAAGGTGAGGTTTGCTTCATGGAGTAAATGGCTAATTAACGCACCAATCAGTCTCAAAAGTGAATATAATAACTTACTGAATTTCCAGACATTGAAGCAATATCTTTCAATTTAGAAAATACTGATGAAATGGTCAATGGTTTTGGAGCTGACAGGATTTTCTGACGTGATCTGATAGTCTGAAAAAATTCCATTCAAAGTAAAGTTTTAAAAGATTATATATCATAAGCAAGTTAAGATTAAAAAATAGGAATGCCACACATATTGATCAAACAGGACCAATAAAAACATTTCCATTAAAATACTACGGTTATTCATAAACATTGTGTAAGGTGCTAGAAACACTAACCAGTCGTCTGATTCTAGTACGTCCTCATACTTGTAGAATGAGTGTCTATAACACTCAGCGACGACTGCTGGAATATTTTATTTACAGATATTTACATAAAAAGTAGAATACGACTTTGTCTTAGAAACTTACTTCGGCGACAGCACCGAGATCACCATGTTGTTTTAAACTGGAACGCATATGTTCAATCCCAACACCTATAAGAATTATGTACAGCATGTTAACGAATTCCCAATTGATAATAAAATTATTGAAATATTTAAAGTGAATTAGATAAAACAGATGAGTCTGTAGGTTAAAAATGTCTCCAACTGTACAACTGAAACCTGTAAATTTTTATATTATTGGGTCAGGCATGTCTTGTAGACGAAAAGCCTGTGTGGCTGACTTATTAATAATCTTACTCCAAATTAAAGAAAATGATATTCCTCCTAATGTTACTGGAATGTATATTTAATCTATGTAGATAAGAGTAAAAATAACTAATATTTAAACGATTAGCTTATAATAATAAAGTTGGAAACGGTCAATGAATCTTTTTACAAATGTACACAAATTTTGATGAATACAGATCACTTAAACACTTGCTACTTTTCCAGACCAACTTCGACACTTTTGTTAACGGAATTAATGGACTTTCATTTATGACTTTGAAAGATTTAAAATTTTATTTTTATTAAGACAATAGTTGCTTATTAAGTAGACTATCTTACAATAAGATTAGTAAAATTAAATAAAACCATTAACCAAGTACTAGAGTATAAGCCACGCTGTGACGGCTAATAGTATCACTCGGTTGCCTAAACTCAAGAAATTGGAATGGAGTCCGAGTCTGAGACTTGGAGCCGGAATTGAAATGCCTCAAACACCAAGCTATTGCGCAGGAAAATTGACGTTATTGCCTTTTTAAAGAAGCATGTAGAAAACTAGCATTACTGAAATACAGCTTGGTAGTCTGAAAACCGGTTAGAAAGTGCTTAATTCATTTAGGTTTAAATACTCAAGAACTATCTTCAGCCATCAAATACTAAGTGGTTTTCAGACTAAATAGATGGTAATTCAAATCAGCTACCAACTACTATCTTACGCACTGTTTCTATGAGGAATATTGACACTACCTAAGGATCAAAAGTGAAATATCTGGAGTGAAGTTCGAACCAATAACTTACTAATTGGAAGGTGAGTGCTTTAATCACTTAGCTATATCTTCAACAACCAGGACATGAATAACGAGCCATGTTAGCATTTTCCACTCCTTCAACATGGTAAAAAAATGCAATCGTCTGCAAAAAATACGTAAGTTTATTGCCTCTTAGAGGACAAGTTATTCACTTATTGATCAAAGTCCTTTAGAAGTTTTAACCATTTAAAATAATAACAGAAGCGAGTAAAAATTAACCTAGTGTATTGATTTGTCAGATATACTTTCTATTGAATTTCAATCTCGTTTTGATACACATAGAGATATTTTGGCTTTTAGTCGTAAGTTAGTAAACATCAGAAATGATCAAAAAGGGGCAAAATTACCTGTAGTTGCAGCCAAAGCCTTTAATAGGATTGTTTCCCCCACGCCTAGTTCCATCCCTTCATATGCGGGCCCCAGTCGGTTGAGGCAAAGGTAAACGCAACTTGTTAAATCAAACGAAGACAACAAACCGACTGAGCGAAAAAAATTGCACAGTATTTCTGTTAGTTTGATTCTAAAGAACCGATACAAATTAAATTTGTGTTACCTGCCAGATGTGGCCTCAATACACTCGAATGTTCTCGCCAACGACAAATAAGGGACACTAGAAATGGTTATTTCCAAGTAATCACCAACCTTTCACCTTCTCGCCAATTACAATCGTGGATGGGGTGATAATCCGCTTTGCTGGGGTCGTAACTAAAGAAATAACATTATTGACGATTCATACCAGGTAACTAGTTTTTCAGGACTCCGTGACGACTTTTCATTATCATTCGATGTGCTTAGAATATTACTTGCTTCAGTTTCCGCACACTGTAAACGGACTAAGTTAGACTCACTTAAGTTCTTGAATTCGTCTTTAATTCTTGTATCAGTCACATTCTCTAACAATTTATCCTCACTTGTAGGACTCTTAAAATACTTACAAATTGTGAAGAGAAACATACTCTTATTGGTTGCTGATGTACCGAATCAGGTAATTTAGAGGGGATTTCTACATCACTTTCTTCAAAATTAACGTCATTCTAAAATGTTACTCGAGTTTATACTCCAACCGACATACATGAACACATTCACTGCCTAATGTTACTTAGACACAAAAAAATTATAGTTACTTTTATTGGGCGTTTCGGTTAATGAATCATCACTTTCGACTATGATGCGTCTGCGCTTTATGTTTTTATGTGAAGTATTGTTAGGCGGTTTCGAACCAATTATCTTTTCCCTTAGGACAGAATGTAAGCAATAATCCCAAGCTTACTTATTTGTTCTCTCAGTTTCTTTTTTCTCGCTCCCGGAGAAGAATGATCTACGGTAGAAAGAACTTCGGCGTTAGAGTATAATATTTTAAGTTATTCAGAATAACAAGTGAATTAACTGGTTTATTTTTACTTAAAATTGTTTCAATGGCTTGATATAAATCCTTTAAACAACAAATAATAAATAATAATACGTATAACTAGGTACTTAACATGGTATTTGAATAAATCGAAAATTATATTTAGATATAGATGAGAAATATGCTTTAGTAAACAGGGTGATGAATTTTAATACTCTTCGAATATTTCTGGTGAACAATAGCTCAAATGCTGATCCTTGGATTTCTAAACGAGAATTAACAACGAGCAGTCGAATAATAAGACATAACGTTGAATATACCTTGGGATCCAACATATTTAGTGTTTCCCATCGCTAAATGAACATTAGAAAACAGTAGAGCACAATAATTGGACTTGATCAAATAAAGTATACGGGACAACGAACACGATAACATAGTATGCAAAAGTCAAGAGAATACCCATGAATTAAGATGACCATATTGGTTGCTTAAATTATCAAAACCTGTAACCCTAGAGCATGTTTGATTAGATTTAACAATCACAGTATGCCGATATTTAGATATAGATGAAATTGGGTTACTTTGAAGCGTTAGATTAATATGATTCCGTTGGTTAGGCGATGTTAATTATGTGTGAGGTTCTGGACAACTCGGTCGATAACTACGCGGAACTGCGACAAATAGTGAAGTCGAATCGCGTTAATTTAGCTAGCTGTAAAGATGCAAGGCGTTGGATGATTTACATGCATGTTCATAAGGCAACTGAGTAGAAATAAAAGTTTGATTCCCAGACAAACCCAATCTCTTTATTTTGGGGAACGTTTTGTCAATTTTGGATAAATTTTTGGGAAACGGCACAAAACCCCCAGAATATTCCTAATGTTTTCTATAGCAGTTTCCCCAAAATTAACATAAACAGGACAAAATTTTCCCCAAATTAGAAAGATGGGAGTTTTAGGAACACAGGTAACAGTCTCCCAAACCATTCAGCTATATGACTTTCTAGGAAAAAGTATTCGCTTAGAAACGTAGCCTATTACAAACAATTTAGGCGATTAGTAAAATCACGAAAGTATTTAAATGACGTATTCTAAGAATCATTATTTCCAGACACATAACTCACAAGATTGATTTCTGTGGCATGAAATGAAAAGTATGTCTAAGTATGCAGGGATAGATTTCTGGTACAACCCTGGTACAACACAACCCCGAGTAACTTATAGACAAAAGACGACCCAAGGCAAGCCGCAGGCTTACACTTGCCAGGTTGAATTGAACAACCTCCTCAAACAAGGTCGCTATACAACAACTTTTTAAATCTGACTGTTAGTGAGGATTATCATGTAGTTCGACGTACAATAAAGATCGATAACTACTATTTTCGGGCATTTTTCAACTTATTTGAGGTTCATAACTGCAAATAAGAGTATAAAGTTTACCTAAAATGTCATTTCAATCATCTGAGGCTATCTAAAAGTGTTTTATATGAACGTGTCTCTATGGAACATCAAAACTGCCGAAATTACAAGGTAATAAGGTGAAACTTATTGTTCAACATGGGGCCTCAAGCAAAAATCATTCTTATATATAAGCATCATTAATATAATTATCGAGTGTAAAAATGCTAGGCATTTCACACTGTAGCTGTAAATAATTCCCCAAAATCAATAGATTTTCAAGTGTTCGACAATGGATGCTGACCACATTGTTCTAAGTGGACTTGTTTAGCTGAAGGCGTTCGGTCATTCACTCGCACCAGATCACGTTACAGCACAGCGTGGGAAACATCTCCTACGATCACTAGCCAGATTAGATCAATCGCTTCTCGATATACTGATAACGCATCAAATATATCTTTCCAACCTCTTCGCTTCTGACTTCTGATTTTAACTGAGTGGGGCACGATCCGATTATAGGAGGTGTTACTGATTATTACTTGTCAAACTACAATATTGGTGGTATTTTCAACACATATGGAGATCCATAAGAAGGTGAGGTTCGTGTTTCCTGTCATGTACAATATCTCCAGAGAATTACGTAAACTGAATTTAGCTTTTGGTGGCTGTCTTACCATTGTATATGGTGCATGGTGTACTTTTATATATTCCTGTTTTGATATAAACATGGAAACGAAATTATCAGAAATTCACCACCGCCTATACTAAAGAAATTTGGATAAATTCGAACAATACCTCCGAGCTCATAGTGAGCATTCGATTAGTTCACAACCACGCGGAACTTATCAGAATGTTGTCGCGAATTAATGTTAGTAATTCGGACCAAAATTGGTACCTGAGATTTACATCCCTTACTTAAAGCAGCTGTAATTCAAGTGTGAAATTCACATTCTGATTCCTATTCTTCCCGCAGTAAACATTTTATTTATCTCTGTTGTCTCTCAACTGCTCAGATGGCTTAGCTTTGATGAAAGGTGAAGAGGAAAGAGGTTGATTTAGTTCGATCTAACATTCAAAGTCCACTTATGATGGCATTTGTATCATTTCATCCGTACGACAACTGAGACCTTATGACATTCACTTTTATTTTTCATCGGTGCACAATAACCGTATCACTCCTACTTCATCGCTAATGGTTGTCGGACGTTTACATCATTAAATGTAGGTATATCCAATGTTCTTACTGAGTTATTAGCTAACTGTTTCTCATGTTTTCTACCACTCCAGACTCTTGCATGTGTTGAGCTCCGTATATTAAGTAGTAATTTCCATAAGGGTCAACTTCATACTTTGTTGGTCAAAGATGAACCTGTCTTCAAGTTGGAGAGAACACTGAGAGAACCGTCAGTCATTGTATTTGACTTAGAGTCAGGGGAGAAATAAAACACAAAGCAATCACTAATACGAACGATCACTACACTGTCCCTATACACAGTGTTCCTTTGGGCTGGACGAAAACTACCGAAGCCGAACATTACCTCGGTGAGCCTTAATAGGCTCAGTTTCGTTCTGCGTGCTATTATATGTAGTTTATGCTTTAATGGTAGTCGTTTGTATTTCAGTTGGCCTAAATATGTTTATTTGTGCCAAGTTATATTGTATTGTGTTGTATGTTTATCAATTCAAATAGTGATTAAAAGTTCCTTCGAAAGTCACATGGTTATCAGTAGTTAGAACCAAAGACTAAGAACCAGGAAACAAATTTTGAGGTGCTTGAGTTTACTGTCTTTGTGGTACCACAGTACATGAGCGGCACTATTGGTTTGTGGTCTGAAACTGTTCACAGTATGGGAAAATTTCGAAAAACAAATGGAAGTGAAATGTAAGGCTTCACCTACACTGGAGGCACTTGTGCTAACCTTCACAAGTACAGCTCTTACAAAACAGTCGGAAATATGACCACCTAAACTATTCACTGAGTCACAATGAAAATAAATTATAGGTGTTTCGCTGTTCTACAATGATAAGATATTATATGCTTTTACATATTCTTTCTCTTAATAGCTGATGTGTTGAAATTTGATATAAAATGGTGGAGAACAAAAAGCAGTAAGTAGTCGACAATGATAAATTTACCGATTTTTCTAAGCATACTCAGTTACCTTTTACATCCTAAAATTTGTCGAATGACCTTTCAGGTTCCTATTTCAGCTTTCCTTCTATTATTGCTATACACTCTACCATGTTATGTTTCAAGATTCATTGTTTGTTCCGTAATTTATCTGAAGGTTTTTGCTACAACACAGTTATAAGAGCTAGTATGACGTTTACCTACTGATTTAACATGCTTATGCGCGTTCCATTGTAACGATTTCAGCATTATTATGGATTTATATCCATTTACCCTGTTCATACTTTTTTCTCTGCTTCTAGTCGATAAATTTGTAGCATTCGACAACAGAACTTCTATCTTCATCCGGACCATATTCCAAACGTTCGTGTTTATCAGAGTCGAAGGTTAAACAAAACACCTTCTCCTTTTTATAATATTACAACTGAAATGCTATTTGGAAGCTCCATCATATAAATACTTAACTGATATGTTTAGATACTTCAGTGATAAATTAGCCCGGTTCGTTGACTCACTCTTAAAGCAGCTTTGTTGGGTTACAACCCTACACTTAATCTTTTGTCATGCATCATTGATCGTGCATGCAAAACAAGCATATAACTGTCTTATTGAAAGTGAATTATAGTCATAAAGCTTTACTTTAGTGTTGTAATTAGCTTCAGTTCTTTTTAACACCTTGCAACTGCTAGTCGGGTTATTGTCCACGTTTGTAGGTTGTTAAGAGTTGTTTTCACTCTTCTAGCAGGTCAGAGTCAATCAATATCCTGCTGTTGGAATAAAAATATAATAAACGGGTCTTATTGAATTCCTCATAATATGAATGAGATACATTTCATATTTTTCTCAATTTGATGGAGAAATCTTTGTGTTTAAATAAGATAAGACCTCCTCCCGTTTCCTTCATGTGATGTATGATAAACTGTATTACCAGAACTCATAAACCTTTTTCAGCCTAACTACCTTTCAAGGGTATAAGAGTGGACCCAAACAGTTGTCGAGTCTTTGTTTCGAATGGGAAGTCCTTTAGTACACATTTCAAGAATTTAACATCCCGATATAACTATAATGTTTTATCGATTGATGTTAATGGTGAATATTTTTAATTTTCTTTCGAGCTAAGGTGAGTGTTATAAATCATGAAATCTCAGACTTAAGGTTTAATGGGGTCGAAAAATGAACCCAACTCTACACTGTTAGAAGCAAACATAATTGTGGCAGCGGATTTCAGACTCCCAGAACTTGGTTTGAGTAACCTGGAATTGTGTTCTACTCAACTAAGGTAATGCTTTATCAGACACAACAACAATTAACGGGACACCAAATGAAATGCTCTGACTTCTTTGCTTCTTTCTGAAGTCAACAAGGAGAGAGTTCCCTCAAAACGACTGCGCACAGTGGGTCACATGCGAAATGAGTTATCTTCAAGAAACTCGATCTCGGTTAAGCTCATTGTGAGCATTAAAGTTTCCAAACAGATTCACCCAAATTCAGACAGATAACAGAAGGCTGTGCAGGTCACCACAAAGGCGAAGGCAAAGATTTAAGAGATGGTCATGAAAGTTTGGATAAACGAGGCAGGTTTGCCGTTATTACTAGGTGTTTAATGTCAAATCGAATTCGAATCATCAACCTATGTCAATTTGTATGCAACCGATGAAATCCATGACAGATGCGCTTAGAGGACAGCCAAAATTCTTCAAGTTGACTTTCAATTCTATTGAAGCTTAAAAAAAGCCGAAAAATAACCCTGACCAACTATGGATATCAAAGTACTGGAATCATTACTCATCACTCTCTTTAGTGGGGGGTACTTCAAAATAAGACGTCGCCTAAAGTCTTTAATCAGTCGTTTAGAAATGCTAGGTGTCTTATAGTATCTTTCCGAAGATTTAACTCAGTAGAGGTGCATTACTCTGTTTTCCCAATTTACTCATGAAAGATGTATTCCTGATACATAGTGAAAAGCGAATTATTATCATGCACTTTATTCATAAACAGATTAGTATATGACGGCTAGAACTCTGATTAGGGCTACTGTATAAATGTTATTGTAATGGTCGCCTACCAATTTAGCCGAAAATCAAAAACGTAATTAGCTAGTAACCAACTGATATCAGTGAAACTCAGAGTATTTGTAAAGCGTACCAATATACAGTACATCAATTGTTTGATGGTGGAGACTTTTAGCTCAGATGGATGATGTTCTGCAAACAAGTGTAAGATACAAACCCTTAGGTAACTGACTTGTGGGAAAGAGAATGACCGATCCATACGGAAGAAAAGTGGTAAACCTAATGATAACGGACGCATAAAACAGAATTAGGGATTCCCAATAGGTCATGGATGACCAGAAGAGAAAGCTGGAGGAGATACTGACATCAGAACGTTTGACGATCTCCACAACGACTAAGATATTAGCCAGACGACACAAGACAAAAGAAGAGATATACTCAAGAAAAGACCGATCAAGATTTGAAAACAAAATAAATTGTTCCAACTGCTAAAGACACTACATTAGACAAAGTGGACCACCTCTTCAACTTTGCCTGCACGAACATCAACTAGCAGTCAAACGCCATGACATGTCCTCAATTGTGTCAATGTATGTAAACAACTGTGAACAGACATTCTAATGGGAAAATGTTAGAATCCTAGATAGAAGGAATACTGAAAGCGTCAGGGAATCTTTGATAGCTTGGCACTCAGGTCAATCGGCAATCAACAAACACATTGAAATCGATTCACGCTATCAACCAATTAAAAAGTCATGAACACATATGGGACCAACA